ACCCCCAAAACCGAATAATGGAATCTCCAACCATGTCAACAAAACTATTGGACCGACGTTTCGAAATAACGGATAAATGTAGTCTCCCCGAGAAATGAAAAACCACCCTCAGAACGTAGATACTCGAAACATTTAGAATAACCATTCCACGTCCACTTGTTCAGAAAATGGAGCACGGAACGTTTGACATTTCCACAAAGTGTCCACGATGCAATTTGTCAAAAGCCACCGTCCATGCGGCAATCCGCCTCGCATGAATAACTGAAGAAGTACCATTCGAAACGTTTCCTGGACATAATGATTGAACCACATTACTTCTGGATTATTTGTCTAAAGTAAAAAAAAAAAATACAAAAAATGTAACGTACTCCACATCTCGTCCGATAACTCCGTGGGAATAAAATATCCGTTCCTTGTATTATCTTTTATACCTCCCCCAAAAGCAACGACTGTCCGAAAGATTTTTCGATAAACGTTAACAGCGATCTGCTTTATCGGATCACTTTGTACGTTTGACATTTCAACCTCTCGAATGTCCGCGGCGAGCATCGAAGCGCACATTCGCATTGCAGGTGAAGCGTCCTGCAACCCGTTTGTAAAATATCCATTCTTTGTATTATCTTATATACCTCCCCCAAAAGCAACGACTGTCCGAAAAATTTTTCGATTAACTTTAACAGCGATCTGCTTTATCGGATCACTTTGTACAACGTTTGACATTTGAACCTCTCGAATGTCCGCGGCGAGCATTGAAGCGCACATTGCAGGTGAAGCGTCCTGCAACCCGTTTGCAAAGTTAAATGTGTGTTGGTGCGAGCTGCGCGGTAGATTCGGCGCATCGCATCATTGAGTCCAGGTACCGTGCGTGGGTGCTCTCACCTGGCCGATTCACGGGTTAGGGATTGAGCAGTCGGAGGTTAGGTTCCACAGGTTGCAGGCTGCAGATCGATAAGCAAACTTAGCCTTCCCTCTCGCTCTCCCGGCTCGCGTGCATCCCTGCACCGCGGTCGCGTCAAAATCTCCATTGACGCCTCTATAGACCTCGCGAGAGGGCGATCCGACGGCATTTACCGCGCCGCCTCTATCAACCGGCTGATAAAGAAACACCTCATGCATTCATAGCCCCCGCGAGCTGGCGACGCGACTTTCGATCAGCACGGTGCAGCGCATGTGCAACCTAGTCAGCTGATCAGCCGGTCGGGTGCGGCGCACCGGAGCTGGCTCTTTAATAAAAAGCTATCAGGAAAACGCTCTCGTCCCTGTGCTACTCTAATCCCATGGATCTAACCACGAAGTGGTATAAGGAAATACACGTATCGAAATCGTCCCCCCTATGAAGTAGCATAAGGGACAACGGTCGGTTCCACGGAAAGTGATCCCAGGATCTCAGATTTTCCCGGATGCAAAGATGCGAAGGCTACTCGCGGAAAATCAGGAAACTCCAATCCGAAGTGCCGAAACATTTCCTACGAGATGATGGAAAGGAATAAAAAGTGGTAGAGATTGGAATACGTATCGACGCAAAACTACCTGAAGAAAGTCCACTGGTTCGTAGGTTTCAGGAAAACGCTCTCCTCCCTGTGCTACTCTAATCCCATGGATCTAACCACGAAATGGTATAAGGAAATACACGTATGAAAATCGTCCCCCTATGAAGTAGCATAAGGGACAACGGTCGGTTCCACGGAAAGTGATCCCAGGATCTCAGATTTTCCCGGATGCAAAGATGCGAAGGCTACTCGCGGAAAGTCAGGAAACTCCAATCCGAAGTGCCGAAACATTTCCTACGAGATGATGGAAAGGAATAAAGACTAGTAGAGATTGGAATACGTATCGACGCAAAACTACCTGAAGAAAGTCCACCGATTCGTAGGTTTCGTATCTGGGGCAGAAAATTGTAACGTTCTTTCCTTCCTCCGAAAGTAGTTTGGAAGTTGGGTTAATCGGATGCGACCAACGAATACTGCCTGCGGATCGTGTAACTCCCCGTAGGAATCGTTCTCCCAATTAAATTCCAAAGCCAAATTCGAAACGGGAGTTACTCCGAATTGCGTCGACCGTCCGAACTTTCCGTCTCGTCCTCGAGGGCGGTTCGGAAGTAACTCGACGTTCCTCTTCGAACGTCGCGAAGAGCTCTCGTGTCGAGGGTAAGATTAGGAGGTGCCGGTAGCTGAGGGGCTTCGTTAAAAATCTTTGGAAAAAATGAGGGATATTATCGGCAGGATTAAATTAAATTTATGGTTTCCATAATCGATGGGCGAGGACGGCGGAGGCGACGGGAGCGCGCGGCGGATCTCGGCGGAATTAAAAGGCGCGGTCCTCGGGGAAGATCCTCGCGTTAAGCGCCTCCTTTGGGATGGCCTTTTCTCGACCCTCGAGGACGAGGGGAGTCGCTTTAAAGCGAGCGAATCGCCGCTTTAAGTCACCCGTTGCGACTCTCCTTCCATTGGAACTCGACGGAACCACCGCCGAGAGCATTTAACCTCGATACATCCCGGCTTTGAGAGCGTTTCCTGCGGTCGATACTTCCACGTGGGAGAAGCCATAAATCGGCGGGGGGCTTTATTTTCAAATTTTTACACGCTCGATACACGTCCCGATGGATTTAATACACCCCGAGTGTTAAGCTCGCGGCACAATGGGCTAACTTAACGCCGGGAGATTAAAACTCGAGGCGTAAAAAGCCGATTGCGGCAAAGTCCCTCCCCGTGCTGAAATCCGCGTTTCTCACTTTAAAGGTGTCTTCGTTGGAGTTTTACGCCTCGGACGATCGCAAGTTAGCCATCCTGTCGCGAGCTTTACTTCTTGCTACGACCTCGCTAAACCCGCGACCTTTAAAGCCATCAAAACTATCTCCCCTTAAGGTGATAGAAAAGGCTCCGAGAAATTCAATCGACGCCGATAAATTAAAATTAATCTACACCCTCTTTGGTGGTAACTCCATTTCCAATACATCAAGTGGTCACATAAGCTGACCGCGCCATGTTATCGACATTTGCAATTATGTTGTCCACGTTGAAAATATTTTTAAATTATCGTGGTCACTCCACGTATAAAAAATGAAATGAAAATGCATGTCAGGACCTTCTTAATAGACTTCATATTAACATTGTGAAGTTTAAAATGATTCGATGCATCCAATTTCGAGAGAAGTTTCATGAACGATTGACCTCTTAGGTGCCACTATCATTTTATAATTATTGGAATTGTGCGAAAATTTCGGTAAATCGGTATTCCTTCTCGACGCATATGTAGAGAGGACGTAAGTGGATATACCTCGCGATTTCGAAATCCGAGGTGCGCGGTTACGTTTCGCCCTCGGGAAATCGAGAAGCCAACTTGAAATCGGTATTGCCATTACCGAGGTAAGTTTCGTCCCGACGTTTTGGAGACGGCGCCGTGGCGGGCGTCGTTTCCGTCGATAGCGACGTTCCTGGCCGGAGGATTCGTTTCTTCGACGTCTCCGTTGACGAAGCTACTTCGGACTTCCCCCCGCGGCAACTCGAACGAAGTCAGTCAGCGAACTTTCTGTAAAAGAGAGACGACGGAGAATATTACCTTCCTCGAGCCAGACCGAGATATTACTTCTGCCAGCCCGAACCGATTCTCCGCGAAACTTCACGCGTACTTATCGTAAATATACCGGTACAACCGCGAATCCCACCTATCCGTCTCCATTCTTCGGATACGTACCGACGTGACTAGCAACGCACCGGAATCCCCGAGGATGCTCTTTCGAAACCAACCCCCTCGGAAAAACGAATTGACAATTTACAGAGAATTTACAAGTCCATCTATGAGAGGAAGAGAGAGAAATCGACGAAAGACTGTAATCGACTTCTTTACCTCCTACACGTTGTTTGATACCAAACTAAGTGTCCGATAATAATCGTAAAGTAAAAACTGTATCCTTACTGTATGTTTATAAAAATTATTAAGACTAAATATTTCATTGAGATTGTCAGAAAATATTTTAGATATCTCCGAATGAGATCTACGAGACGTCTCGAAAAATTTGTCGCTTGGGATATTTAGTACAGATTAGAAAGGAATATTTAAAAATTATTCTGCGCTACTGAGGTTGTTTGGTTTTTTTAATGCTTTAAAGGTCTAGTAGGTTTGGAGGTAGAGGCTGAGTTTCTTCTAATAATGTCATTCGTTGGAAGCGAATTCCTCTTCTCTCCTCTTCGAGCCTTGAACGCGTTCCGCACATTCCGAGCATTCTGCGGTTCACTTTCTCAAATTCCTGCCTCGTGTCCTGTCCAATCCTTGGATTAAATCCGACGCGGGGTTAGGATTCCGTCCCCCGTGGAAACTCAATATTTAGACGGAGTTTACCACAGGTTGTAGCAGTATCCGAAGGGTCCTCTGAACACTTTGGACCATTCCACGATCAACGTTGCGGCTCGTAATCTCTCCTCAGCTCCTACTGAAAACATCTCAAGCTTTTTCATTTTGTGACAGGTAATCGACCCTGACCCTCCTTTGACAGCGTTTCGTCTTTGGAATACATTTTTCTAAGACGTCTCCATTATAAACTGCTGCGAATCCAGATGTGAGGCAAAAAGTGATACATAGAAACTGTACAAACATATTGCAAATTATTACCCCGTTTTATCTTCCCTTTTATTGCTAGTTGGAGTCAAGTGGTCTAGGCGTCTTTCCTTTATCGCCCCGAAAACGCTCCTTTGCCTGAAAATGGAAAGCAAAAGCTGTTTTTTTTCTTCGATTTCGGTCCTTTATCCCTGGGCTCGGCCTTACAAGCTCATGGCTGATTCAAAGAGATTTTCTTTCCTCGTTCGGATTTTCTGTTCGTCCGATCAGATCCAAAGGAATGTCCGACTGAATCGAGTTAGCCTCCTTTGATCGTTCCGAAATTATTTTCTCTTTTACAAACCTATTCGACGTTCATGCCACGGGTAATTCGCCGGCGTCGTTTCATTCGGAGCATCGCCGTTTCCAGTCGCCATTTTACCCATTTTCCCAATGGATTCTGCTACATGGCAATGGACGATCAAAAATGGTTCTCTGTACTCTCGAAATCCTGTTTCATCGTTGCCTTTTTTCTGGAATCGAGGCTAACGAGACAGCAGAGAGATCAGCGTTCGTGTTTGAACGTAGGCTGACTTGTACTACTGTGATAGTCCGAGATCCACTTATGAGATTTTACGTTTCCTGCTATTTATTCAGGAGTTAGCTTCTGCTTTTCAATTATCTAGTATTAACTACCTTATTGCCTTCGTCTTGAATAAGTGCACGCAAGTTGACTGTTATAACATTCACTCCGAACATGTCAACTTTTAACCTCACCCTCTTCCGACGTCACATAAAATTCTGCGTCCAAAGGCAACAAACTCGAATAATCTAAATAGAAGTGAGGAAGAAGAAAATTAATTGCGGTCATGAAGAAAGATAATAAACATCTGATTAAGACTCTGAAACCTCGGCCGAGATCGCGATTTCTCCCGGGAGAAGTAACGTTTAGATATAAAATGATTACATTTTTTTTTTAATAATTTAATGAAGATTAAAGTAGGTAAAAATTAAATTGTATATTTTCAGGTCGATCCGGTCGTGGAAAAACGTGATTTGAAGGCTTATAAGGAACATCGAGTAAATGTAGTCTATGCACAACCGAAAATCGATAACAAAGCTCCGAAATTCAATCCTTACGATTACCTGAAAACGTGGAATCTCATCGAAGATGCAAAAAGAACAGAAGAAATCGACAAGGAGAATATCGCATTACTGAAAAACATTAACATCATTGTTCGGTGTGGGGTAAGTTCTTTAAACTTTCACCATAATGATCATAGAATTAATTAAGATCGAAGAATTAATTTTGTGAAAAAAATGCTTTGGCAATTCCGTTTTCCAACGACGCTGTATAATGGGAAACGCTTTAGCATCGCTTTTTTAGAACCTTTTTTTATCGACTTTGGTATAAAACTTCGTGACCTTCCTCCTCGCAATCTAACCTCCATAATGATTTCACACCTACAAAATTGACATTTTTCGTCGCTACCTGTATTCTATTAAAAAATTAATCTCAGGGGAAGGTGGACTGTTGGAATCGAAGAGTGACATTCAAGTCGAACGCTGAGAGCAAGGAGCCGTGGAATCGAAAAATCCGTCGAGAGAATAAGGAACTTCTGGACAAAATCCGTCTGATAAAAAGCCAATATGCGCTCGGAGATTTCCTGCGAGATTGGAAGAGAATCGAGAAAAAAGGAAAAAAGATGACAAAGTAAGTCTGGCAGGCATCCGGGGATTCTGAATAATTCCACTTTCGTTTTCCTTCTACGCGCAACTTGGAGAAAAAGTCTCCTCTCACTTTGAAACAAGTAACGTGCTAATAAAGGCCAGCACTCGGTGAGTGGTAACAAGTTTATAACCCATCGAGATATCTTAAAGCTTGGACATTAATCTATAACTTGTTGTCACGACAAATGCAGTATAATCGAGCAAAAGTTAATGAACTTATCCGCCGATCTAAGAACGGCAAGCTTCCTCCAACTAGTTCAGCAGAATATTCGCTACATCAGCAGCCACGCAAGCAGGCGCAACTGCTTCTTTCGTGGAGGAAATTTGCCACCGTATTAACCGACACGACAGACATGAAATGTTGCCAATACTACAAGTGACTAGCAACAGAAGCGGCAGTTCTCCCGAGGTGAAATTACGCTTTCAAAAGCGTCAAGTGTACGGCTGAATTAAAGCACAGAGTACCACGTCGAGTGCTTACAGGTGTAACGATACACGTGTAACGTATACAATGACAGCAAGGGAAACTATCTGATTTACAGCTTAAATAGCAACTACCGTTTATCGCGAGTGTACAACAGCATTAGGCGTACCGCAACTATTGGCGAGTATGTAGAAGACATCATTCATAATTTTAGTTTCACTGGTTGTATAGACTAGAACTAAGAATACATTTTTTTTTGTCTAATAATGAAATTTCATGAGCACCACGTTCTTTCTTAGGACCTCCATAATCACGTGCCGAATGATTCGATGCCCCCAGTTTGGAGAAACTTTTTATAAATATTCTGACGGTTTATGTATATACAATGACCCTTTCGTATCACCTTAACCCTTTCGTTACCTTGGACGAGATATCTCGCGACCCTATACTGGCCGATTAACGCTTTTGACGAGATATCTCGCGACCCGATACTGGCCGATCAACGCTTTTGACGAGATATCTCGCGATCCGGTAGTAACTGTATTTATTTCTTCCTTTTAGCTATACGAATAGAATTAGTTATAAAATATATTCATCTAGAATGTCAAAATATTAGTGCTAGAAAGCTAGATTATCGTCAAAAGCATTAATCAGCTACTACCGGATCGCGAGATATCTCGTCCAAGGTAACGAAAGGGTTAAGAAGACGTGGTCCCAAGGTTCGATCCTTTCTTCCAGATATCCAACCACGTGGAAGGAGCCCCGTTTCATCGAGCTGGAAATCCCCGGATCCATCCCGAAGGAACCTGGCCAGTTACGTGTTCAACGACCTCGATGTTTCTTCGATATTCTGATTGCCGAGACGAATCGGAACCTCGGCAGAATAGTTTTCGAGCTGTACTCGGACGTTCTTCCTCGTACGTGCGGGAACTTCGAAGCTCTGTGCCGCGGCGAGAAAGGACTCTCTTACAAGTAAAGGTCGTAGCCATCCCCGAAGGGAGCAGAAACCCGGATCCAGGGACCGTCTAATGACCCAGCTTCGTCCTTTGACTTTATCCTCGCAGAGGCACTCCCTTTCACCTGATACTCCCTGGGTACTGGTGCCAAGGAGGAGACGTCACCAAGTTCAACGGCAGCGGCGGCGCCTCCATTTACGGGGACTCCTTCGAGGACGAGAACTTTGATCTAAGACACGCGGGACCCGGAGTCCTGTCCATGTGGAGCTCCGGGAAGGACAGCAATAACTCCAAGTTCAACCTGACCTTTGCCAAACTCGTCACCATGGACGGGGAGAGGGTCGTCTTCGGCAGAGTCGTCCGGGGCCTCGGGAACCTCTACAAGGTAATAACGAAAGCATTATAATTCTATACACAAACATTTCCACGTAGACGTTGATTACGAGGAATGTTGTAATTCCTTTGATGGATGTTTACTAAAAAATTATTACCCCGAGGGGGTACTCACTCAGGAAATCATGGATTTTAAGGTGATACGGAAGTGGCGTTGAAGAGGTTTCGCCCGCTCACCTGTTGAAAAAATATTTGCGGTAAATCAAACAGGAACTTGCGCTCTTTTAACAAGGAAATTGGTTTAACAATGTCTAATCGTTATATTTATCATATTTCTTTCTCTCGGGGTATTCGGTACGGTGTTAGAGCGTGGTTGCGAGATTCCTTGGAATTAGCATAGAAGATCGATCGGGTTTCTCTTACACGCTGGACCGGTGACGTATCGGTGCGACCGGATGTACTTCCGGTAAAGCGCACTCGATATGCAAGTGCTCGTTACGCGGTGCCTTCCTCTCGGCCGGATTGGTTCCACTCTCGATTTACCCACCTCGGATTTGCTTATATCTACCATACTGTCCTTCCTCTCTCACCATCGCTTTTTGCAATTGTTACTTACTGCCGGCTAAGTCAATACGTTGTTTTCAGATCGAAGAGATGGGGGCGAAAAGTGGAAAGCCGCTGAAAACTGTAATCGTCTCTCGGTGTGGGGTGTTGTCCTGAAAGCTGCGAGATTTATTTTTGGTGGATAAAAAAGTGTCAATTAAGGGAATTTGTAGGTAAGTACCTATTTACCTCGGGAGTTTGCTGACAAACCTGATTTCTCACTATTTTTCGAAGTTAGTGCACGGAGCTGCCTGGAACTTTAATTCACGTATACGTACACTGCGAAAAAAAAAAAATTCAAACCAACACCAAAGAAATGAAACTTTTTACGGATAATTGGTTGCATTAAGTATTAACCGGTAAATCGTGCTTTACTGCCCTGTGTATTACTTCAAAATAGCCAAGACTTATATGCGGAGTGTGGAAACAACCACAGAAATTAATGAAGAAAAATATTCTATGGGTGAAACAATCCTACACCGAGAAAGGGGAGGAATTCTCAAAGAATACGAGGCTTTCACTTCGGTGCCCATTTAGGAATAAAAGATTATACCTGAAAGCCGGGGGAAAAAAAAATGAGTAAAGGGAGGAACCGTCGGAAAAGATCATCTCATCCTGCGGAGCGCTACGCCGAGGGAATTAAGAATTATAGCGCGTGAACGTGGAATAAAAATAAACACGGAATTCCGCTGAAAATGTTAGCTTCTCCTTAAAGTCTTATCTAGATAGGTGGTCATGAAAAGTGTTCCTATGAAAAAGTCGAAAGATAATTTACAAGCCCATAGCGCGTTCCGCGAGGCACACAATGCCTTTGCATCGCTCGTGAAACGTAACCGGAACATTGGCATAATGACACAATGTGCACCAATCTGCACTGTGTCGCAAGATTTACGTCAGATTTATACCAGACTATAATTCGACCCACGCGAACTCGATATAAATCTGGTATAACTGACACGCAACGTTAATCTTCGTCGTCACATTGTATGTACGCCGAATTTATGCTGCCCAAAAAAGCTAAGGTGTTGATATAAACAACAATATCTCCCCGTGTAAACGCGTAACCGTGTTCCGACACAAATGAGATGATTTTCTTTTTTTAAATCAGAAATAATATCGTAAATGATTACGTCTCCACCATACTTCTAAATCCGGGATTTATCGAGTCCCGTCTCAGTAAATCCGAATTTAAGTGTCGATCGAGACGCTCAGAATCGAATTCGCGCATTTATTAATGCTACGGAGACATGTGATTTACTGAATCCGGACTCGATAAATCCCGGATCTAGGAGTACGGTGGAGACGTAGTCAATGTATATTTAGCGCACACGTAATACTACGATGTACATTTTTATTGGCTTTAAAGCTTCTATGTATCCCTTACAATAAACACTGTTGTCTTTTTTGAATTTGCAATTTAATTGAAAATAAAATGATTGTAGAGTGAACTGTTGCGCCATCTAGCGTGTGTCACATGAGCCTTTCCTTGGGACTGGCCTGGTAACTTATCGGTTTCTTCTGTTTACAACGAATTCAATAAATAAGTTGATTTAGGAGCAAAAACGATATCTCAACTGCTGCTCGGAGAATGACAGAATATTTCTATAGCATTAAAATCTAGTTCTGTTTTAAAATTGAGACGTTTATGCCGTCCGGATATGTAAATCACATCATCATGTAAGGGCGCAAACGTCCGGCAGAAACTGCAGAAATGTGCTGCATCCAGTTCCGTTTTCAAGTAATTTACGTTCCGTACAAAATTTGTGGCGTAAGATATCTAGTAATTTCCTGCAAGAAGCTACGTAAATTACCTAGGGTATTTTACTTACCCAGTTTTGCCAATTGGACCTCACTCCAATTTTCAGTGTCCATGGAAAATAAGCTTCGCTGATTGGTTACTGCCAGCGACTTGCTGGGCTTTAGTAACTGGAATTTCGGCCATAAAAGTTCAATTTCTAATCATTTAACCTTTAAGCTTGCTTAAAATCATAATATTATTTTTTAACTTATCGTTCGGATGTGTGTATGCCATAAAAACTTCTAAACATATTACATTCAATAATGAGCTGTACTGAGTAAACCTTTTTAAAGCATGAATGATACACAACTACCCTCCTGCGAGATTTTGGGACAAGCTATACTAGAAATAGAAGAACCAATAATATTTCGGCGCATTTTACAAAATGAAAACATTTCTGACATTTGGAAATTTCAGCATTGGAATTTTGATGAATTGGCTGAAATATTTGGCGATACGCCACTGCCATTTCGGATAGGTTTTAATACATGGACAGAGGTAACTTCTATATATAAGATTAATTTTCTACAGAAAAAAATATTTAAAAATGAGTCATTATAAACAAATTATATCTTCACAGACCCCACAGTGGGAAACACAATGTAGTACGGAAACTATGACTTTACATCAATTTCTGGAGATAATCCGATCTAACCCAGATCCTAGCAAATGGTACTACTTCGATTATAAACACATGAAAGAATGGTTAAAGAACAAACCAGAAGTATTAACTTCCATTAATTGGAGTCCATTTGGTTTTAACAAGCACGGAGACGAGTCTACCCTTTGGATTGGAAGTAAAGGCGCTCATACAAATTGTCATCAAGATTCGTATGGATGTAATTTAGTAGCTCAGACTCATGGAAGGTAGCCAGATGGCAAATAGTTATTTTTAGCAATCCTTTTTTATTTTAAAATTGTACTTCTTATAAGACGACGTTATAAATATATTTTTTGTATTAGGAAACAATGGTTACTATTTTCACCTCAAACGGGTAATACTATGGAACCTACAAGGGTTCCATATGAAGAATCTACAATTTACAGTAACGTTAATTTCTTTTGCCCATCAAACAGTGATGTGCAGAGGATCTCGAGTTCGATCGAATCAGCCCAAATGGTGATACTTGAACCAGGAGATGTTTTATTGGTTCCTAGGAAATGGTGGCATTACGTAGAATCAATGGATTTAAGTATAAGCATAAATATATGGTTACCTTTAGCATCGGACTGTGAAGATAGATTAAGAGAAGCTCTTGTTAAATTAATCATGACAAAAATAGGAAAGAATGTTCCAACTACATCTACGGAACTAAGATGTTCTCTTTATCGTTCCATAACGTTGGTAAGTGATTATTTATTTTCTTTTATTATTTTTCCATAACACATGTAATTTAATGTGTATTTTCACAAAGTGCGGTTTATATTTTAAAACTGACAAACTGTTGTTTGTAATAATATACTGGCTATGTAATTAAAAAAATGCAACGTTAAATGAAAAAAGAAATGATATCGCTTACATTTCTTTAAATTTTAGGTGGAAGCGTGCATTAATGAATGTAAAGCAAGAGATGCATCGATACGACCTCATACTAAAAAGTATAAGAAATCCAAATGGACTGCACAAGAATTAGCAAAAGAATACCCAAACTGTATATTTCTTCTTCAAGGACTAGATAAATTAAAACTTGAACAGATTCTAGAATCTAAAAATAATCGATTTCCTAATATGAGTAGTAATTGTCTCTCAATGCAGTCAGAAACTGATTCAAATAATCTTGGTACAATAAATTCAAGTTTTCACAAAATATCGAATGCCATAGTGAATGCTTTTTGTCATCCAGAAGTTATCGCTAAAGTTTCTGAAATTGTCCTTAATACAACTGAAGCAGAGATTGAAATGAAATAATATATACATCTTGTTGATAAAATAAATATTTTTTATATTCAATAAAATAAATACTCTCTAGAATGTTTTTTCAATAACAAAAATTCGCAATTTAACCATAATTGTATACAAGTTGAACGGTTCACAAGGTTTTATGCAAATGGGAAATTATAAGCGGGATCTAATGTGCCTGATGTTTTTATTCTATTTAATAAAGTTCAATATTGAATTTACGTTGAATTCTCTTTAAATTTAAAATCTTAATTGAAATGTAGAAATTTACTTCAACTGTGTTAAAGCCAACTAGATAGTTACATGGTGCATTCAAATGACCAGCATTTTTGTTTACATGGTCTAACATAAGTAATTAATGATGTACAATTTTTAATCCGATCCAAAAATTTGTAATATTTATCATTGGTTAATTTTCAGTAAACATAAGCAGACATCGTGGCCCAATTTTGTTTCATAGGAAAATTAACTAATACGTTCAAAAGTAATTCAGAACATCAATGTTTATATAATTAAATGTTCCTTCAGAAAATTATAAAGTATATCAATGAAATTATCATTGCACCTACACTTACATGACTTACAAATTCGGATGATTTTTTACATTCGATTTAAATATACAGTTTAATTCTATGAGTCTGTTTAAAAATTAACAAACAATATAGCTAATATCATACTGCATTCTAAACTGGAGTTCTATGTATATATGCTGAATAAATTTTTAGTTCAGTCCATTATCTCCATTGCATTTGTCTTTGTCCTGTAAAAATGTTCTAAATTCCTTATAGTCCTCTTACAATTACGATCTTAGGTGCTTTATTATTTTGTTTATCACTTCATGTAGTTCACCCGAGTATAAAAATACTCATCAAATGGAGCCCAATCCTCCGTCCAAAATATACCTTAAGCATTAGATTGGTTCATCTTTAGCACGTTTGACGTTCACTTGTGGATGCGAAAGAGGATTATAAATAGGATCTCCATCTGTTGCCATTCTTCCAAGCCACGAAAATATGATGATAATTCCAATAAAAATAAAAAATCCAATTATAGCAATAGTTGCATATCGTTTATACAATGAACCTGAAGTATTTCTTCTACGTGTTGGTGGTCTTGTTATGAGTTTCCACCATCTCAAGAACCACTCTATCGCTGATTTTCGTTGATATTTGTTCTCATCGTGATCAAATGACACTTCCTTTGGATCATCATAGGCTTCAAATACCTTTCTAGGTGTTTGACTCGAAATTGGAAGCGATGGTTCCATATTCACAACAGAGTAAGGAGGTCCTAATTTCTGACTATTCACATGGACACTGTTTATATTAGAATTTGCAAAATTCACGTTACTGTTTGATCTTGGGGTAGCAACTGTAGGACTGGAAGTAGATGTCAAATGATTTTGATAAAGAACTTCTGTTACTGGAACCTTTCGTTCTTGTACAGGTTTTTGCTCTCTATCTTCGCTGAGCTGGAATTAAAAGGAAATTATATTATAAAAGTATTTCAAATGTAAAGTTATGCACCATCATTTTATACATACTAGCGGCAAACCGAGACCAGCTCTTGCCCAATTAACTCCAGCCAGTTTCTCTCTTAGTACGTCTGCAACTGGGGAAACCAAGTTCGATTGAGGGAATATGCACGTTTGACAAGATGGACAGACGTAACCTGCAGGTGCAGTCGTAGCTGGCAAATTTCTAGCATAATTGTCAATGCAAACCCAATGATAAACATGGTAACAAGTCAACCTAACACAATCGCCATCACTTAAATTCCCAGAACACAGGACACAAATCGGACTGTAATCACTGTCTTGAAGCCATTGTAGATATGATTGGACAATACACTACAAAGATATAATAAGTAATAATTAATTAACAAATCATAGGTGAAATTATAATGTGTTACACTTATTTATATTGTACGTATTTCAATACTTATTGCAGATTCATTAAATTCATCCTACTAAAATGTGACATAGCTGACGATTGAAAATAACATACAACTATGTATACAAATTAATAATGTACGTTCAACTTAAGAAATCACAAATTCATGTTGTGGAATATTAAAAGAGGTGTCTTACCTTAGGATGATTTGTCATCATACAGTGTTCACAAACATTTACACAATGTTCAAAACAAAACTGATTAGTGACTCGCCTCTTCGGACATTTGCACAATCCCATTTTGAAGTAGTACCGTATTGAAACGTAGTTAATTATTAAATGTTGTAAAATGTTTCGGTGCGAATATTCGCGAAAATAATTTATTCTTCGATTGCCGAGAGTAATAACATGCTAACCGGAAATTTGTTGACGACTGTAATCACCGCTTTTGGATGATCCACCATGTTCTCTCTCGGCCACGTCGCCTGACAAGACGACTCGGATCTAACGGAAACAACCAATCCGATAGTAACTAAGGGCGCGGCACGACCAATCATTGGTTCTTAATAAGATACAACGGAAAATAAGCGGCTGATATAAAAAAGACCATTTTTAATGACAATTATTTCATTGTAGTTATACCAAAATTAAATACGTGGAAATGAAAAATACTGTTCTATAAGTTGTTACAAATAAAATGTTTTACTTGGATATGACCTGTATCGTACACAGAATATACACCCAGTAAAATTTACAGATTTAGCCTATAACATTGTTCAATAAATACATATAAAATAGAGACTTATCTATAATTGTACTTACGTAACGTAATAATTAAAAGATGGATTCTATCAACAGAATTAAGAGTTCTGCTATAGATTCTTTTGAAATACCATTCTAGTGTACAGCATTCCATTAGAATTTTGTCCAAAAATGATGTTAATTTGATAAATTTTATTAATAGTTATCAGATTTCAATTACCATTTGCTACTCTCGAATGTTGTACCGAACCTTCACCTCCTGGATTGTAACGTGCCCGTGGCATAGAAAGAACCGGTAAATTAGACCCAACGTCAGAGTACCTATCTACGCGTTGATGAATTATCCAAATAGGAGGTAATACAAATTCACCGCAATCACATTTTGTTTGACTGACAAAATCAAAGGATCCTAGACGACAGTGACAATGTGGACATTGTATCTTCCCTTTGACCCAAAATTCCTGAAATTAAAAAATACACTTATTTTCTACAAAAGTACAGATACTGACATGTATCTCTACAATATTTATCCAGAATTAATATCTTTACATTATTCACAATATCTCTAATCCAATCTGGCATATTTTCTAAGGAAAGGAATAGAATATGTTCCCGTGTGCCTGTTCTGCAACGAAAATGCGTTGATCCGTCTCTGACTTCCCCATGACCAGTAAGCAGTGGCGTAGCTTCCTCGGTAAAAAGAATTTTACGACATCGTTTGCATTTAACCTCCGACACCTAAAACAAAAAATTATTAATATAATCTTCGCAACCCACTAGAGAACTATAATGAATCGCCTTTAAATTTGGCGCTTCCAATTCCTTATGCTTCATTACATATAGCAATGTGCAGAAGAAAACCTAACCTAAGCATGAAAATGTAAAACTACGGGATTAACCACGTTCTGATCTTAATTAAGATACTGTAAGTAAAAGACACAAGAACAATATTGTAGGTACCTATTTGAGCAACATTGTGCCACAATATGGAAGAATAAACAAGATATTTACTCACCCTCGCTGGCATTGCTCTTTTACGTGATTGTTCCAAAAGTCGGAGTCCGAAGGTGAGCCAATCAGCGCGGGAAAATTCAAAACAACAATGAAGAAACGTGCCGCGATTATTACTCTAAATAAGTACGAAAGTGGCTTTTATTTCTTCATTTGGATAGGTTCAGTCCACTATTCTATCTACAACGTGTACCTAGCGAAATCATGTAAGACTTAGATGTGCCCTTGAGCTCAGATCTAACAAGAAAACGACACTTATTTATCTAATATTGTTCTTTAGATTTTGATGGCTATTATGATATGTACAATGATTTCGGGCCAGGATGGTCGTGGTTAGACAGAAAACAAGATATATCTGATGTTGAATGGAATACCTGGATACCACTTATGTATAAAATAGGTCCATGGATCTTTGTGCACTGTTTCATCGGTCAATATATTAAATATTCATTCGGTGCAAATGTATATAAATTATCGTTCCTCTATTAATTACTATTATTTGCACTTATAAATTGAATCAATTTCTGTTATTCATATGTATATTTTTCAGGTATTATGTATATGGTACATTCTCATATCGATTCTATTCCTATCGTACTTTGTTGGAATAGTAGGAATGCTGTGCATGTTAATCCAGCCATGTATAGCATGCCTACTAACGGCATTCAGGAGCAAGTCGTTATCATGGATAATTCATTTGTCCTCCCTTGCATTAATATATCTAACTAAAATGTCAGACTCACCAGTGCAGTATTGGCTGAAATTAAATGAAGAGGAGTACTATATGTTCATCATTGGTATTTGTTGGATTCAACTGAGAAGCATTAGTTACAGCATTGATAGCATTGTAAATTACAAACATAAGAATCTGCTCGGATTCTTAAAAGAACTTTCCCAAAATGCTGCGTATTGTCTTTATCTACCTACATTATTCTTAGGCCCAGTCTTGTTGTACAGTGAATTTTTACAAGGAGTACGTATAAAATCTACCATAAATAACAAACCAGTACATAAATTTGAACGCACAATATATCATGTTTCTTTTGATTAATTCCGTTTTTTAGTTAGTTTTCTTACTATAACAGTTTAATTTATCTTCAGATTAACAAGAAATTTGAATCCTGGACATTTACAAGATTGAGCAGACTTCTATTCAATCTGCTTCGTTATGGCTTTTGGCTCTATTTTACAGAATTTGCTATGCATTTTATTTATTGTAATGCACTGCAATATCATCCTCAAGTAAGATGACCTTTTATTTTTTATTCAACCATTATTCATATCTTGAAGAATTAAATGTTTTTAAAGATATTTGTTTTGCAGATAGTTGAAAATCTAGATGCATGGGCATTTTATGGATACGGATATTGTATGGGGCAATATTTTTTGAATAAGTATGTTGTAGTTTATGGCATTTGTGGTGAAATAAGCAGAACAGACGGTATTGATGCTCCCGCAACTCCTAAATGTATTGGACGGATTCATTTATATTCTGACATGTGGAAACACTTTGATAGAGGATTATACAATTTCCTGATTAAGTGGGTTAAGAAATCACTATGATATAAATGCTTGGAATTATTTCTTTCCATTGAGTATTAAGTTTACCATAAAACTAACCATATTTATTATTTCCAGATACATTTACATCCCAATCGTAACTGAACTGACAATACCATGTAAAAAACTAGTTGCATCATTCTTATGCTTTGGATTTGTATTTCTGTGGCATGGGATGAAAATGTTTATTTTTATTTGGGCGTGTCTCAATTTTATAGGATTGGCAATCGAAGACACAGCAAAATCAATAGGGAAGTCCTTAAAGTATATTGAATTCGAGAGAAAATGTTTAAATTGGAAAAACACAAGACGTTTTCATTGTGCCATAGCTAGTCCTCTTCTTGCAATGTCTGCTATATCAAATTTTTATTTTTTTGCTGGAGAAGAAATTGGAAACATTTTTGTATACAGAGCAATTCACGGTACGTTCTAATGTTTTATGTTGTTACATTTCTTCTTCCACAAAACATTTTGCTTTCAGATCCATGGAATGTAAAAGTACTAGTATTATTTATTTTGCATTGCTGCTGTCACGTGTCCACCGATATCAAAATAATGGAAATTATCGGTTATGGAAAAAGTAATATTTAATCATGGCACACTTCGTAATCAATATATGTAAGGAATAAAATACCAGTGTAATTACAATATATATTTTTTTAATATTTTTAATAAAATAGGTGTTCACATTGCACAGAAAAGCATAACAGCATTTCCTTTTTATGATTTATTCAACTTAAGTACAAAATATGTATAAAAATACAATATGCAACCAATGATTACATGATTTGACTTTATAATGTAATCACTGTTTTGAGATAGTCTCCTAGGGACGCATTATAAATAATGAATATACTACTTGGTGATAAGCTTTACGCATATAATTACGTTAATATTTATACTTGTATATTACTACTTAATTTAGTGTATTTATAATTGAAACAATCCATTTCTTATCCTGGAATTGCTCTTCGTTAGCACTAAGGCACATTTTTTTCTCAAACTAAAATATTGGCACTTTATTTGTGTAATGAATTACACATATGTAGCATTATATTTTATTAAATCAATGCTTTCATTCATCATTTTATCGTTCTCGAGAGTCGGAACTCGTACTAAATTGAAGCAAGTAATTAGGCTTATGCAAATTTTGAACATAAAACATTTCAAGACACTGAAATTTAAATAGTTTCTGTAATAACATTGTAATAAATGATCTTTATAGTTTACTTCAAGATGGCTTCATATTCTTATAAGATAAATTAATTTGCTCAATAAGATTTATTAATGGAATAAAAAAACGTATGATTCTATGGTTATTAATATCTCATTCATAAGTACTCTCTTAGAAAGGAATTCATTTACATATTATGCATTGAGTACAAAACAAAATTAATGAAATACTGACGTGGTGTTGCATGAATGAAAAGAATTTTCATGTCCAATATTTTTATAAATGTTCATTCATGAAATAATTGTATTATTAAATGCTGAATAAAAAAATTAGGCCAACCTGGTGATATATCCCCGTAAATACATTATGCTCCGTATTTTTAAACAACTTAACACAATAAAACATTATACTACACTGAACAGTTTCCTTTTGTTACAAATCATATACGGATTTGATCAACTTTTCCTTTTTTTTTTCACAAATCTCGTCATATAAAATTTCATTTCATTCATTATAGCTACAGAGTATTTGTGAAAATGTGAAAAAGTGGAAATATAATATATAAAAGCTAAATATATCTTTTTCATTTGAACTGGAAGACCACTTTGAGCTGATTCAGTTACATTTCCATAATGAAAGCGTTCTTAGTAAACAAGTGCAGTAGATTGAAACATAAGTATGCAATAACTATTCATTATCACATATAATAACGCTACATAAAATGATTATTAAATGCATATTTGATGTCTGCACTAAATTACGACTTGAAGTCCCAACAAACGTTATTTTTTTTGTCCTTTACTTATTTTAGTTAATGGTAAATAACTTTCATCTTCATGCGTGATATACATAATATCCGTGGACATTTTCATTCCACGTGTATTCCCCTTTATACAAATGTGGATATTATGCACAAGCAATATTGAAATATGTTAATGGCATAGTTTAGGTACTTTAACAATGTTAATATTTCTCATCTGTATTTTCTTACGATTAAAGGCAATAGAAAATACTTCGTGACTGAACACGTTGAATTTTTGATTATGCCGTGACGTTTCCTTATGCGCAAGAAACTTAGTTACCAACAGTTAGTAGTAATATCATTACATAATAACGCATTTCCGGTTAGTGACTTATGAAAATTACAATATAAAGTAATATAGAAAAAATATAGAATCAAATTGAAAATGTATTTTAGTGTAAAAATATGTATTTTTGTATGTATGCGATTATGCTTTTGATTCAAATTTTTAGAATTTTAGTAATCATGTTCTTGAATCAAAAATCTAAATCGTCTTACAGTACAATATATTACTTAAAATAAACTTACATGAGACAAAATCAAATGTCCGTTATTTTTGTGGAATCGCGACATTAGGCAAGGCTTTAATGCCATTAATGATGATGTTTTTTCTATCGATTCGTAACAAGTTGCTTTTTGTATCATCATTTGGCACTAGCAGGATTGCATTCTGCTTGCCTTCCTGAATAAGACTGAATGCTTGTGCATGTTTGAATACAGCAAGTTTTCCATTTTTCACCAGTTGTAAACCAAATGGTTTTTGTTCACAGTGAAATTTTACTTGACTGGGTGGGACGTTAACATCTTCATCTTCCCTTTTCTTATAGTTCTCTTTATGCACAATATTTGAAACTTGTTGAACATCCTCTGCTGGAATATCTTCAGTTTCACAAACGAAATTTTCCAAACGGTTATTAATATTTTCTTGTTTTGAATCCCTTACTAAATGGTTATGACCGTTTTCAAGAGATTTCTCCTTTAGATCATCTTTTAAAAAAATACACTCATTATCTGTGTTTTCTGGTAAAATCATACGAACTTCACATTTACGTACATCTTTTCTGTTTTCTCCGTGATCGCTATTATCATCTCCTATTTCAATAATTTGTTCACTTTGAGAAGTATTCGCAAAGACATGGACATCAGCATCTAACTTTTCATCGAGGCGCTGTATTTGATTGCACTTAACTAAGAGTTCTGCAACTTCGTGATCACCCCCAAAATAATTCACATCTTCTTCATATTCCGTTAATTTTTGCTGTTTTTCATCATCTTGTGTTTCACTGCAATATTCACCACTGCCTCCTTCTTGATTCAATTTATTATACAAGGAATCATTTTTGTGTGTATCACAATTTTGGTCATGTGTTGCAGTTTGTTCGCCATGTACTATTTCCAATTCACACGAATATGTATTAATTCCTACCGACGTCCTGTATACTTCCCCATCCCGTTCCAACTCTGTTTCATTGTAATATTTTATGTCTCCTTCAATGTAGTTAAGATTATCATTTTCTACACCTATCTCAGTCTCATAATCAGTCTTATTTTCAAGAGATTCATTATTATTCCCAAATTTGTGATAGTACTGTTGATTTACATTTTCATTTGCTTCATCATTGTAATCTTGTTCACCGATCTTGGATTCCAGGTGCTCATAATTAGTAGATTCGTCATTATGAAAATGAATGATTGCTTGAGGTGCGGTTACATCTTCATCAATTGTATTTTCTGATATAGAATTTTCTGGCCTTCTCCTTTTATTAGTTCGTACTTTCTGAAAGTCCTCCTCTGAAAGATGCAGCAGTTCCCCAGTTGTTGTAAGTACTTTCCCATGACGTGTCTTTAGATGTCGTTTATATGTATTTCGCGTTTTAAACCTAATAAATAAGTACACGTCATTTATTATAAACAAAAAATAAAATTCATACTGATATGTGGGCAAATTTTTACCACAAATAGAATTACCTCTGACCACAATCATCGCATCCAAAGGGTGCTTCACCAGTATGGCGCCGTCGGTGTTCTCTAAAATGTGACGGATGTCTAAACTTCTTATCACAATCTGCACATGTAAATCGCGTCTGATTTTGGTGGATTAACATGTGATATTTAAGACTGTGTCTTCTTGTAAATACTGCTCTACAAATTCGACACTCGTAGGGTTTTATTCCTGCATGGCTGCGATAATGTGACACTAATGTCGTGGGTGCTGTGAAACTCCGAGGTGGATCACAAATGCGACACTGTAGATTGCCTCCACTTGGATTTCCTTTTTTCTTAATTCGTTCCATTAATTCTAGTGCCATTTCTCTCTCCTCTTTGCTAGTACCAATAAATTTTGCTTTACCCTTAGGTTTAGCTGGAGTTATAATTTCCATATTTTTAGCATAAATTTCTTCTGACCAGGATGCTGATTCTAAGCACAAACAAAAGATTGATACAATTTAATATAAGACTTCATACACCAATAAAAAGAAACAAATCGTATAAGATTACAAAATTTCATTCAAACCTTTGAAACGAAAATTAACCTTATTTATGTTCTTGCTCAGATAATAATAAACTTAAATTGTATACAATAAAAATAATACAAAATGTTGAAATTGAAAAACATACCTGATAAATAACCACTAGTAAGATCTCGTTGATTAGAGTAATCAGTAAATTTATGAGCAATATATGGAACCTCCTGCATGTGAACACTGTCACTTTCAACCACCATTAACATGATCTATAAATAAACATATTAGCTGTTACATAAGTACACGTAGCTGTAGTAAAGATTCAAAAGGTTAGGTGGTCCCATAATACTGAACGCTACAGTAACCTTAATACCTCACGATATAATCTTTATGATAATCTTCATATGTATTACATCATATTTCAGGTTACTTAAGGTTAATTAATCAATAAATCATCTCCATGCACAAATTGATATTTTGCTATCTTTCAATTACTAAATACTAAGTTATAAGCAAACTAATTTTTTTCAGGGCATAACGCAAAAAAATGTATGCTTACATTCTCCTCACAAACCCCATTTACTGTGATATCATTGGAATTTTCGATTACTTTTTCGTAAGGACTCTCGTCCTTGACTAAAATGGTTGAATGTTTCCTTGCTTGCTCATAATAACTGTGATCCCCCAAAACTTTCAAATTTATTTCTTGCATTCTTTTAGAATCAGATGTACAAGAATCTTTATTCCTAGTAGCTGCTTCTATTTTATTACATTTTTCAGTTTCTGTCTTGTTTATTTCATTTGACAAAATTTTTCGTAAATAAGTTCCTGATTTTTCCAACTTAACGTCTTTATTTTCCTTGTTTGGCAATTCTTGCGGCTTTTTTAATTGTTGGACTTTAGTTTTTTTCTGTAAACTTGTCTTTGAATTACGATATTTTATAGTAGTTGCAACAAATGTTGAATCTACAAAATAAGTATTACAAAACAGTAAATAAGCATTTCTTACAGCACATTATTTATAAATGATCAGTTATATCATATTAACTCATACTTACACGCCTCTTTGTCTCTCTTTAGGCACTCTAAGTGATCAGCTAAATGAGCTTTAATTGACATTCTGGCTCTACCTTCGCTTGCAAAACTTGTGTATCTTTGTCCACAATCTGGTATAAGCATGCACGTATACGAATATTGTCTTTTAAGTTCATCGCTAGTAAAAATGGTGAACTGTTTAACCAATTGGGTAGACGGCATTGTAAGAAGTTGCGGTAACGTAAAGGACAGTTCTTGGGCTTTACGTCTGACCGATTCTGACTTTGACTTAGTCTTGTTTGTTCCCATTGGCTCTGCATGCTTTTCGGAATTCAGAGTTTGCGAAGCTACTTCTGCTAACATATCCAACAAAGCGGCTGGACTATCCATTCCCATATTACCTATTACACAATATAAAACAAGATCATAAAATACTTATCGTCACAAAAAATAGCTTTAACGTCCTTCAAAATGTTTCTGCATTTCGTATTAAATAATGCTACTTTAATACCTTTTTTGTTAAAAATTCTGTGCATTAATCCCACACTATTATGAACTTTAAATTCTATGACCACATTACATCCTATTACAAGAATGTTGTTTAAATTAATAAATAACTTAACATCTAATCGCGATTTTAATGGGGATTTTCGGAAATCCAAAATTATAATTTTAATACAATGTTAACTATGCAATATAGAGCAATAATTATGAAACAACTATGACTAGCAACAGAGGATAAAAATTAAAAAACATTGCCCACATTAACTGAACGATACGTTAGCCTGTATATTTGCATGACATAAGAAAGAAATAAAAATAATATTTCACTTGTTACTCTGCGAACATTTCGTCGTTTATCTAAATCGTTCCATATAATGGCGCTTAGTTTCGTACTTCTTTAATATCGCCAAAATTTTACTGTTCCTCGGAATTTTACTAAAAAAATTCATCTCCGTAACATCTCAGAGCTGCAGGCTAAATGACAAGATACTTTCTCGCGCCGAGATAATTCGCAACGAGTTTGTTGGCGTTCGACATTTTGAATTCCGAGCCATGGTGGCGGGCCCACGTTTGACGTAGAAACGTCAAACACTTCGCAGATCGCATTCGTGCGTTTAGTCAATTTGAAGCTGTTTGTCAACCGACTTTCAAGTCCTGTTTCGACAGAAGGATCAGGAAAATCGGAATACGATCTCGCTAATGGGACTCGGTCCCAATATTCTTTCAGTGAACCGCGATTCTCGTCAAAAATGGAGTTATTGTATACTATTCGGCCGCTCGCGTATCTTGACATTCGGAAGCCGTCAGGTCCTGACAACGCCCTGGACAATTCTCCGGCAATTCGGAGCCATACAGATTTTTTCGATCCAAATAGGTAGCGACTGCGAAGAGAAGGAACGGAAGATACTCGTGAACCGGAGGGCATCGTTGTTTTGAGACAAATGGTCCCACAATACAAGCCGTACGGCGTAGCGGCAATAAACTAGCAGACGCCATGAGGACGCGAAGCAGACGGATTTTCAAGCTCATCGCGTCTCGATTTTTGCGAAGTCCTATGCTCCCTTTTCAAAACCATCGATTTTACCGGCACAATGTCACTTATCGATTTAATGGAACTTACAATTACCTCCATCATAAAAGTTACGAGCGCATTTCAAACTTGTTTTAGTATTCATTATGTCGTTCACTTTCGCGGCGTACCCTCATTTCACTGCCATCTGTCTACAACTGCTTTTGCTTGCTGCCCCCTACGCGAACTGTCACGGCATTGTTGCCAACCTAGGCATAATTTAAGCCGAACTATAAAATGGACGTAAGAATATATGAACAGAGCCCAAGCCAGAGGGATAAGTGCCGGAGTAAATAAGGGGCAAACACGTAAACAATGAGAAGGTAGCCATATTGGTCAGCCAAAAGTTTAGCTTCCTGATTAGCTGATACTTAGTTGTCACTTTAGGAGTAGCGAGCAATAAACGATGCGGGCTGTGAACAGATAAATAGTAAGTGAAGTACAATATGTGAACTTGTAGCATTAAAAACGGGTACAAATTATGTTTTATATAGAGGAATGGCAAAAATAAATAAGTTAAAGCTAACAGGAAAAATGAAGCGGTGACCTACCAATTAGAAGGCTGATAAATTGGCTGACCAATATGGCCCCCTACCTTCTCCCTTTCCGACACGTAGATTTCTCCCTCTGGTGAAAGATGGAACTTTGGGCTCCGACATTATTCTTACGCTGCTTACGTCCATGAGTTTACTTCACACCGTGTCGCCATGACACTACTAGTTGTTTGACTGAATTCTATTTTCTCGTGTTAATTCTGTCAATATATAGAAAATGTCGTTAACAAGGTTCGTTTCATTCGTATGTTACATATTACCTGACATTAAAATGCAATTTCTGTAATGATTAAATTGCTAATGTATCGAATATTTTTAAGATAAAGTCATACGTGAAATGGTGTAAGAACACGCACTGACTTAAAATCAGTAAAGTCAAGTAGTACCTTGACATTTTTTACAGAATTACTTGTGACTTGTTTCGTTTCTTTTCAGTCTACTTCCAGCTCCAAGTCAAGTGGTTTGGGATCGAGAAGATGAGGCACGAGAACAAAAGTTACGCCAAAGACCAGTGTCTGCTTTGGTTAAAGCAGTGGTTACCGCACCTCCCTACGGACAACGTAAAGGATGGGTGCCAAGGAACACAGAGGTAAATAGAATTAATACAAAAATTATTTGAGTTAACGGAATTAATAACTTATTTATTTCAAAGGATTTTGGAGATGGTGGAGCGTTCCCAGAAATACACGTCGCCCAGTACCCACTTGGGATGGGTATGAAAGGAAAAGAAGCTTCCAGCAATGCTCTTTCGATTCAGCTCGATGCCCAAGGAAAAGTTAAATATGATGTTATTGCTAGGCAAGGCCATGCAAAAGACAAGGTAGCATTTCTTAAAATGCTTTTGAAATTTTACCATTAATCTGTATTGTTAAGTTTATAAATTTTTAAGTAATTAATAATTTATTTTCTATACCTTTCAGATTGTATATAGCAAATTAAGTGATTTGTTGCCGTCAGAAATAACTACTGAAGATGATCCAAGCTTACAGCGGCCCATTGAGGAAGAAATAGATGACATCACTGAAAGGACAAGAAAAGCTTTAGAAAAAATTACAGAGTCTAAAATTGCAGCAGCTATGCCAGTTAGATGTGCTGAGAAACAAGCTCCAACTCAATATATTCGATATACTCCATCGCAACAAGGACAGTCATTTAATTCGGGTGCAAAACAAAGGGTTATAAGAATGGTAGAAGCCCAAGTAGACCCAATTGAACCACCGAAATTCAAGTAATATTCATTTTTTGAATATTGAATAAAATTTAAGCAGGAGACTTTTTTGTTACGGAGCTCTTTTTTTAGGATTAACAAAAAGATTCCAAGAGGACCTCCATCACCACCAGCACCTGTAATGCATTCTCCTACACGGAAAGTTACTGTAAAAGAACAAAAAGAATGGAAAATACCACCATGTATTAGCAACTGGAAAAATGCTAAGGTACTGCAAACCGTAATCCTTTAGTTCCCTTCAATATGCTACCAGGTTTATGTGGTCTTTACGCTAATACTGCAGGGAACTACTATTGCAAAGATTCTGTTATTACTTTTAGGGTTATACTATACCATTAGATAAACGTTTAGCTGCTGATGGTCGAGGACTACAACAAGTTCACATCAATGAAAACTTTGCCAAATTAGCAGAAGCACTTTATATCGCTGACAGAAAAGCCCGTGAGGCAGTTGAAATGCGAGCACAGCTTGAGAAGAAATTGGCACAGAAAGAAAAGGAGAAAAAGGAAGATCATCTGCGTCAACTTGCTCAGAAAGCACGAGAGGAACGAGCTGGTTTAAAATCTGTAGCTGCTTTAGGTTAGTTATATCATCCATTTACTTTGGCCACATTAAAATATGATTTCAATTGGAAGTTTTCATTTTAACAGTTGGTTTATATATGTTATAAAAACACAAATTAAATGCTAAGAAAAGTGTATAAATATTCTTGGTTTTTAGATAAAGCAGAAGAAACAAGAGAGAGAGATCAGTTAAGACAAGAACGTCATAAAGATCGTGCTCGTGAGAGGAACTTGGCACGAGCTGCACCCGATAAGCGTTCCCGTCTACAACGAGAACGTGAACGAGATATCAGTGAACAAATTGCTCTTGGGCTGCCAGCAAAGAGCATTTCTAATTCTGGAGAAGCTCAATTTGATCAACGATTATTTAATACCACTAAAGGAATTGATGGTGGCTATGGACATGATGATGAGTACAATGTTTACGATAAACCATGGCGAGACTCTAGTTCCATTGGTTCACACATCTATCGACCTAGTAAAAATATCGATAAAGATAATTATGGAGACGATTTGGAAAAGCTTGTGAAAACAAACAGGTTTGAAGAGTTAATTAGAAGCCTGTAAATTGTACAAAGCTATAGCGATTAATTGGAAATAATGAATGGGTAACAATTATTTCAGGTTTGTTCCTGACAAGGAATTTAGTGGAACTGACAGATCTGCTACTCGTTCTGGTCCTGTACAATTTGAGAAAGATGAGGAAGATCCATTTGGTCTCGATCAATTCTTAAAACAAGCTAAAAGGGCAAGTAGCTCAAATGTTACAACAAAACGTAAAGACGACAGCCACCAACGACGAGATGATCGTGACAAGCGTAGAAAACACTGATTGATTATCAGTTTTGTTTCCTCATGCATCTAAATTATGTACTATGATAAGATGCAATAATTCTGTAACTTTTTAATTCATTTGTACTCTAAGGTATTGATTTCAGGATCCATAATAAAAGACCAAACATCTTAGTTTATTTTAAATCCCTGTCATAACCACTGCAGTACTTTTAAATAGTATAGGTGTGTTTATTTGATAACGATTATAACATTTGCTTATACCTTTTATAATGTAAGTTGAGTAAGTTATCACGTTTATCTGCTGTGAACTGATAACATCGTGAGATAATTTGAAAATAGTGAGGTTAGGTTGTTGGTGGGTTAAACAGATGGTTCAACTTTCTGCATACTAAAAACGCTCATTAATGTATTTCATCTCAAATGGACAACATAACGCAACAGGTATCAACTAATTTTTTGAAATTTAATTTCTATGGATAGTTCCAAATGATAAGTTTGTCTAAATACTATAGCAACTTGACTTATTTGTTTACTGTATGAGGATCTAATATTATGATGCCAATATTTAGGCAGACGAAATCGAAGCTTTAATAGCTATCTACGGCAACGATTGGCAAATAGAAGATGAAAGCAATGGAATGTATAGTGTTCAAATAAGTGAAGGAAATGCTAGTGTTAAGTTGTACTTAAAATTGCCCAGAGACTATCCTTCAACTTCGCCACCAATATATGAAATATCAGCTCCTTATCTCAGTCATGCTGAAAAGGTTCGTCTTGGAAACCTTCTGGATGATGTCTACCTGTATGTTTTTGTTAATTAAATAACTTTTTTTAGCCTAACTTTATAATAATCCCCACAATCTTTATTTATATCAGGATGCAATTAGGAAGTACCTTGTAATGAAATTCTAGTTTCATTCATTTTAGATCCTTTGTGGGGCGGAATGTACTTTTTGAATGGATAGAAAAGATAAGAAGTGAATTGCAATCATATTCAACAAAATTTGTCAACGATAAGTCCAAATTACAAGAAGACGTTCAAATCCCAACTGCAGAAACTATAAATTCAAAGTTCAGTTCAGACGATGTTGCTGATCTTCCACAAATTTTTCATGGAGAAGTAATAATTGATAGAAAAAGTTCATTTCAAGGACATGCAGCTGTGATTAAGTCCAAAGAAGAAATCAAGTATTTTAATTAATTTTATCAATACTATATGGTATTAATAAATATATGAGGTAGTACAATGAAATTCAATTTTGTTTTACATTTTAGGGTTGTATTAAATAAATTGCTTGAAAACAGAAAGGTTCAACATGCAACACATAACATCTATGCATATCGAATATACCAAGAAAATACAAAGAGTTTTATTCAAGATTGTGAAGATGATGGAGAATCACAAGCAGGAACTAGATTATTGCATCTTTTGCAGGTAAATGTTTATAGATTCTCTAAGAGTTATAGATTAAACGTGTTTCTGTGACTACGTCATAACATATTAATTTCATTATGTATGTTTACTAATACTTTGCCTTAATTACAATTATTTTAGTTTTTTTTTTAAACATATTCACCTTTAAAAGTATACATAATTTTTTCAGATAATTGACATAAGAAATGTTATTGTTATTGTATCTCGATGGTATGGTGGAATACACCTGGGTCCTGATCGTTTTCGTCACATCAACAATGCTGCACGACAGGTTTTAACATCTGCAAAGTTATTGCCAGAAAATAAAAACAAACACTAACAAAACATACATTTACGATACATTTGCTTTAAATTGTCTTGTTTGTCAATGAGTAAATACTACTAACTGATATGGGATATATATATATATATATATATATTGAAATATAAAACGAATAACATCAATACTGGATCACGGTCAGTAATTTATAATTTAAATATAAGTAAAATTTACACCTAATTGAAAGCATACATTTCTTATTCAAAAAACATTTCGAAAAATTAGTCCTTTCCTTAAAAGCATTCAGCAAACTAATGGTTTATTTAAGTGACTCCTGGACTATTTTAAAAGTATGATAAGGAGCAAAAATTCACACTGGATATATCTCCACCTGTCCTTTATTTACAGTTGAAGCAAATTGAAATAACACTATTATTTCCATTGCTTACTAATGCATCGTGGTAATGCTCAGCATTTTTCTGTCAGTGATTAGTGAGTTTGAATACAATGCAACATATTCTTTGAATCGTTATAATGTACAAATCAAACGTAAAGGTCTTATTAAATATTTTGTTCTTAATAAAACATGCATTACAAATGTAATTTGGTCACTTATTTTAAACTTAATTTTTTAAAGTAATTCTCTTGTGAAGCTTAATTGATAAATACATTTGACTTAATTACACTATAAACATAATCAAATTCCAGAAATATGCACCTAGATAATCTTGGTAATAAATATATGAAAAAGACGGTTATCACATTTATAATTACATATGTAAGTTGAATCAGATTAGTCACGTTTAAAAAAAAATTTGTATCATCGGATGAACCGGTCACCACAAATTCAAGATATTCCTGTAACAATCCCCACTTATTTATGGGCTGGCATAAATATAATAATTCATTAACAAAAAGAAAATAGAATCGTTGCAAGTGTTTCTAAAACTAAATTTACTCTTAGTATAATCGCGTTAAAATTATATTGCACTGATTTTTAAACGGTTTGGACAATGCGATTATAGCAGAACCCAGCCCTCTTCGATAATGGTACCTGATGTCACGAATCCCTGTGAAAGAACTGAAAATCGGAAAAGATTTTAAAAACCATTAGAGCAGTACTTTTATGGAATTTTGAATGTTTTTTGATCTTTTGAAAGTTTATCGCAATTAGAACTATCATTTATCTTCCAAATTATACTTTCCAAATCATTCAATTGCAACAATTATTAATGGGTCGGGTGCACGATTAATTTATATTTATAGTACAATGTGTTCTATTGCGTATTTCTGTTTTACAAAAATTATACATCATGGTAAGCATATTTCTATTTTAAGTAGCATTAAGTAATGATATATGTTAGCGATATAAAATACAGAAAATATGGTATGAATTCTACAGTTTTTTCAAGATGATTAAAAGTACCTACCAGTTGGAGGAAGGTCCAGTTCGGTGTGTCGTTGATTCCCGTTAAGACTTGGTTCAAACCCCAAATCGACACTGTTATTGCTGTCTATACCAGAATCTCCATTATAACAATTGACAGTTTTCGATTCACATAATTTCCTTGACAATAATTCCCTACTACACTCTCCTAAGCTTTCCAATTTGTTCAGCTCGGTTCTGTAACTTTCTTCATCATCCTCCAAGGATTCCACGTCAGTATGTTCACTTTGTTCAGTTCTTTCTTCCTCGAGCATCTCATTAATCGTTTTGGTCATCATCTCTAAATGTGTATTGCAACCAACATAGGGAATTGTGTTGATACAATTAGATGCACTCGAATCAGTGGAATATATCCGATTGCTAGTCATATATTCTGATAAGTCAAAATTGAGAACTGCTGCAAGTAACTTTTCCTTATCTTCAACGTCTTTTTTCATTGTCTCCAAATCCCTATGACCTGACTGTAGCATTATGTCATTATTTGCGCTTAGTGTTAGCAAAGAAGAATAAGTTGTCTTTGATTCGTTATCATTGGCGTTAGGGCCGTCAACGCAATCTTGACTTGTGTCATTATTCATGGGCAATAAATTACTTTCAGTTCTATTTTGATTTTTATTTCCTGACTTTTTGCTCTTTCGTTCTGGGGTAAAAACGACATCTTCAAATTCTTGTTGTCCAATTTCTTGAAAAATATGCCTACGGTCGACGTGTCCTTCCTGTTCGTTATGTTTGCCATTGTGCGTACTTAGATCATATCCTGATACTGTATCAACATCGGTCCTTAAGGAAGTAGTAATGTTTAATGGAACTATGGGTGGAATTTCTGTAGCTTCTTCTGCATTCACCACTGTTGTATCAGTGCCAATAGCTACAGTTGGTAAAGCACTGAAAGGCATGCATGCAATCCAATATAATGAAATATAAACAGAAGTTAGTATAAAAATTCAAAGTTTGCAAGAAAATATATTACAAGATAACTGATTAACAATTTCTTATATTGATCAATTTTCTAAATCACAGCAATTAAAAGAATTACCTTATTGACTGAATAATATTGGTAGGGTTTATTTTGTGGAATGGAATTGCTGGCACAATAGCACTTTTCTTTAACTTCGATGTGAATTCTAATATTCCAGTAACAGGGTTACTAATTCCAGCAATTGATCCTAAGGATTCAGTAATCCTGTCCATATCTAAAATTAAAAGTGGAATCATCTGAAATTACTTTGCAATTTCTACAAGACATCTTTAATTCTATGGGTTATAACATATTAATCACAAGCATTGAGTATTAGTTTGATGATTGTGTAAGAAATCCATAATTAAAAATTCTGATCATTTGTAATATGGAGTAATTATTTTTTATAAGAACATATGAGTAGTATGTCTTAAAACATGTTTTTTTTTAAATAAACATATTTTCCTATTACGCACCAGATGTGAAAGTATTTGTTTCAGGATAATATGCAATTCGAATAATATTTCTTTCTCCTTCTAATATAAATATTTCATCCTTTGTACAAGCGACGTCAATGATGTGTCGTAAGTCTGCGATTTCGGATGTTATGGCAATAGTAGTTGGATTAATTACATATATTATATCATTGCTATAGGTTACAAGTAAGTCATCACAAAACGGCAACATGACACCAAACGTTGGTTCTTCTCTATTTTTCTTTGCACTCTCTGGTGTTGGATTTAACAACTCCACTTCGGTATACCCACATCGAATAGCATCCTATCATGCAGACATTAAAGATGATATGAATTTTAATTTACAAATTTAGATAGTAAATAAGTATTGATATAATGAAAAGTGTAATTATTACGAACTTTAAAAATTAATGTCTTTAGGACAATGCCTGATTTATCTGCTTCCCATAGTCTCAAACCTGGTCTGCTAGCGTAAATCACTGTTTCTTGAACACGACTTTGACGACAGGCAAAAACAGCTCCTAATTTTCCTAGTCTACAGTAGTACAAAATATAATAATTAATTATGCCATGATTAAGTCCTTTTTTCGGGGCCAAAGAATAAATATTCTATTCTATAACATGATTAGACTTAGCATTACGTACATTTCAGCTTTCAGTTATTTATATTACTACAGGCAGACTATAAGCATATGAATTCATAATATGGGTAATAATGTAACTAGTGAAATGAATATACTAACGTTTTCCTTTCCTTCTGACCAACTTGTGAAACCTTTCCATTTTGATTTATGTTTACCACAATCGTTCTAAATATGGTTGAAACCAAAAGTGAGCCTTGATGATAACTTAGTTGAACAACTGAATACTTCTCATTTAGTAATTCTGTTGATTTTGATAAATGCTAGCAACAATAAATATTATACATGGAATATTAAAAACATCATAATACTATAATGTAAGTATATATTTTCCTGTTTATAATTATAATCTAGAAAATATTAATAGAACCCCTTCCTATTCTGGCAAAATATATTTAATCAGTATATGTGTTGTGGGTAAGTGACAAAATCAGTCTATGTAATAAATAACAACTTACCATATAAAAATCAATTTCTGTTATTACTACTAAGCCATCCTGATCTCCACTAAAAAGTTTCATTCCATTTTTTGACCACTCAACACAAGTTACAGCACTTTTATGCAAATCTGCTATGTTATATCGCTCAACCTAAAGTATAAAATAAAAACCAATATACAAAGTGAATCTTATGACAGATCCAAAATCAGCGAGACTTAATTGATGCAAAGACAAATCTATTATTTAATGAATGACAAGTCAGGGTCAATAATGCTATCCTCTCTGATACAAAATTTTTAATAGACTGTCAAATTCTATTAAAACTGGTTAATTGGCCAAATAGGTATGCCTTTGCACCATATCCCATCTGTTTTGAACCTTGTATATATGCATATATGAATACCTGTTTCTTTTGCTTAGGTTTTAGACTATCAGGTAATGAATCAGGTATAGTTTTTGGAATTTGAAAAACTGTGACAACACCTTGATCGTTACCGGCTGCAACCATGTAATCTACAGTTGATATTAATCTTATGCACGTAATAGCCGAGTTAAAATTCTGCAAACCCAAATAGTAGCAATATTAATGATAAATCTAAATTGCAGATGAAGTATAAATGTATTTGCTAAATAGCTACATATTACCTCACATCGCAGCTTTTGTAAATCTCCCTTCTCTCGACTATACCAGTAAACCAAACCATGATTTGTACCAATGGCAATAAATTCTGCTATTGCATCTATGCAAGTAAAATTAATATCTTGCGTAAAAATGCCATTTTGGATTTTAGAGGGTATATTTTGAAGGAGCATTGTCAGTGGGGCCCACTCTCGTAACGGTCCACCATCCTCGCACATAGGAGAAGACATTCCTGTCGATATACATATTTCTGAGTTGTACATTTCAAATAAGATTCTTTTGTACAGCAATAAAGAAGATAGTAAATAGGATGACAAAATTATTAAGTATTAACAACAGCTTTATTTTAATGTAAAGTGCAAAAAGTAGCTAAACGACAATTTCTAAAATTAAAAAAATCTCATTTATACACTACCATTGAAAAAATTACACTTGTATATTAATTAATTACCTATCGAATCTGGTAACCTCAGTGAGTATCAGTACTATTGAATCTACCGTCCATGATCTTTCTTAAATAGAAAATCATTAAACATTGCATTTACGGTTTTTTGATTTTTCGTCAGGAATCTTATCTCCGGAGTTTCGGGTATGTTCGGGTATATATGTTTAGTAAGGTTAGTGCAGTTTAGTGTCACTTACAACGTCTCCACCGTCGGTATTTATTCAATACCGGATTAGATAAATCCGACTGTGGGCAGAGATGAGTTGGGAGATTGCTCACGGGCAGGGTCACGTGATCGCGTCTTGTGCTGCCCCCTCGGTAGAGAATCTACCACTTAGCAGCACTTAGGCTCGATCCACAATTTGAGTTAACCGGAGTTCAAGTGGTTTACAGCAGGTTAAACCGTCTATAAACCCGTTATACCGCGTATAAACTTGTTAAACTTCGATTAACTAAAATTATGAAACCGGGCCAGTGTCCAATTGGGATCCTCCCGACAGATCGACGAAGCCCGAATAAGAGGTTCTGATTGGCTGTAGAGAAATAACGAGTGAGGGAACTTTCTCTGCAGCCAATCAAAACTATCTGTCTAACACATCTTACCTCCTTTGCATCATCTATGTGGAAAATGTTTTCTCAACTCTCAACTATTATGGTTTATGCCGCAGTGACAGCTGTCTTCCTAAAGAATATGCGATTGCATGTGTGTATTATCAATGGTTAAATTTCTATACTACAATTTGTCATCACGGGTTTGCAAATTATTTCAAAAGATCATCTAAAAATCATTAAATAGCAATGACAAGTAAAAAGGGACAAACACATCGACTTGAAACAGAAATTGACAAGAATAGAGAAGAAGGGAATTGGAAAAAGGTTATTGAATTGGCAGAACATCTAAAAACGTTAGATCCGAGCAGTGGTAAGATTTTTTCTGTTTCTTCGTCAATTGAAACTATTAAAATAGTATACTGCATTTGCTAATGAACATGTAGACTGCATTTTGTTACATGTGTGGATATATGATAAAAAAGTATTATACAATCCAACAAGGGTTTTTCGTCTTTGCATTTCTTTTTTCATAACTTTTGATAACATAATTACCATTAGAAACTAAATAATCATACTCAGTTTATCTTTATTTTAAAGAGTGTCTAGGAAATTTTCTTTGTGGCGAGGGAAGATTAGAGAGTTTTTTGGAGCAAACACCACCGATTGATGCCAATGTGGGGAAGTGTAGAACTAGTCTTGCTGAAACAAAGAGATATTTACTACTTGCTGCTAATGATAAAGATAATCAGGTAATTATTACTTACATGTTTGAAGAATGACAAGATTTGCAATTCTGGTATTTAATTTTGAGTGGTTTACATAATTACTGATATCTATAAAAAATAATGTAAATTTAATCATGCCTAACATCAAAATGATGTACTGTGTCCTATTGTTTAGGCACCAGTTGTTTTAGACGCCCATCTTCTTCTTGGAAAGCTTCATTATGCAATGGGAATGTATGATACAGCATTAAAGCATTATCAGCAAGCAGAATTGCATACACTTACAGAAAAACATTTGCCTAGTCGAAGTTTGCGTATAATTGCTGAGTCCTTTGCAATAAAAGGTACAAATAATTTGTAAAATGTACTTTGTTATTCCTTATAAAATATTGTTACATTATGTCCTTCAGTAGGATTTGAATAACTCAAATCTTTTAAAATAGGTCTGTGTCTTGAGAAACAGCCTCCAAATTCAAAATCCAAGTACAAGATTGCAGAGTGGCAGGAACAGATGATTAAATGCTTTGAAATTGCTGGGGATTTAACATTAGTGTATTTACAAGATCAGGATAAGCAAGCACTGCAACAACAAATTGGTACCTCTACTATAAACAGCAATAGCATAGGTGCGTCTAATTAAATTGTGCTCCTTTATTTTTATCTCTTTTGTTATTACAAAAAATTGGATTCAATCTTTAAAACGATTTCATGTATTTCAGGATCATATTCTCCTCAACCTCCATACAGTTCTGTAAAGCATATTGGTCCAATTCTAGAAACAGCTCTTCAAAGAGCTCCAATATTTCATATCCAAGCTGGGAATATAACAGCTGCTATTAATCGTTACAGGTAATTTATGTGAAATATCTGTGAAATTCTTAGTGCTTTAATTCCAATTGATTTAATTTAATAATCAATTGACAGAAATATTTTATCCGCTGTGGAGTCCACAGCAACCCAAAGTTTACGCCTTACATTAACCAGACAATTAGCAGAAATCCTTCTACGAAGTATTAGAGGGACCCATTACAATCCTTTAGAATTACCTGTGGATTCATCAGGTATCATTTCAAATATTACTGCTGCACAATTAGTTATAAACTGAAGGATAATATAATTGTCATTTACATCAGGCATAACGACTAGCAGTCGCAAAATGAATCAATATTTGAATGGTGGGTCGTCAGAATCTCCATGGAAACCAAAAAAATATTCCGGGCCGAATTTGTTTATTCCAAGGAATGAATACGAAGAAATCATTCTGCTTCTGTTGATTAGCGAAGCAATGGCAGTTAGAGATACCGTACTCAGTCAATCTCCAGAATTTAAGGAAGCCAGGATACGGGCTTTTGAAAACGCTACTGCAGTTTATGACCTTCTTACAGTTGTTGTTATCCGATGGAGTCAAGTTGATTTATTATATGAGGTGCAGTATAATTAACAACATGAATTGTCTGTAATCGTAATCATAGCTTTACTTGAGAAACTTAACTAGAGTTGTATCTATTTCTGAGCAGTTTTTAAAATGAAAGTATTACCTGACACGTGTGTCGATATTAACATTAGTAATCAAATGTTCCAGTCATTTGAGAGGGCCATGAAATTCTCTCATGAAGAGGTGCATGTGTGGACTCAATATGCATTGTGTTTAATTAGCCTTGGAAGGTATACACATGCTTACTCCGTTCTTAAAGTGGTGGCGAGGCTATCACCGCAGAAAGTTATGCCCTGTTTATTAGCAGCAAGAGTATGCTATGAGCAATTAAACTCAGTAAGTTCTGTTCACTTGAATATACATAATTGTTCAACCCTAAATTATCCTACCAGAAAGGTTGAATTGTATTTTTTTAATCAGATACAGGAAGGTATTGATTGGAGCCAAAAGGCGTTACAACGAGAAATGGCAAATCCACAAGGATTGCAATCCAGATGTCATTTGTATATTGGAATTGGACATAGCATACTATCCACTACTATCATGCTCAAGCAAGATAAAGTGACCCACACTAACACTGCCTTGGAATGTTTTCAAAAGTACTATCTTTATTTACTCTCTTAACAATCTTAAAGACTAAATTTAATTAAGGTAATTGATATGTTAATATGATTTATACTTAGAGCACAGCAGTGCGATCCAAACGATCACCTGGCAGAATATTATTTGGCTCATATATACGCTGCAAATCGTCAGATAAACGACGCAATGGTGCACGTAAAAATTGCATTGAATCTGCGTTCCGAACACATCTCCTCGTTGCATCTGCTGACGCTGCTACTTTCCGCCTACAAGCAATACCCCGAGGCTCTTCATTTAATAAACAGTGTCCTAGAAGAATATCCAGATAATCTCAATTTTCTCTACGTAAAGGCACATTTGGAGTTGCATACCATAGGGGGTGTGGAGGCCCTGGCTACGATAAAACATATGTTGTACTTGTGGAAAAATCTCTACGAGAATCAAACCAACGTAGACTGTAATGAATTACAGAGCGAAAAACGAAGCGAAACTAGAAGCGTTTTTCAATTATATACGTCGGAAATGTCCGACAAGGACTCAAGTAGGTCTAATGCAGATCATGATATTAAGTCGAATAGATTTTCTACATAGCTGTAATTCATGAATTCGCCCTATTTATTTTTTTTTTTATAATTTTTCCAGGTTCGTTGCGTGCACAATCATTGGCAGCTTCTAGAGTAGAGCACGCTTTGTCAGAGGTAGCATCGTCTCTCAGCTCTTTTACTCCGAGACCTGGACCCCAAAGGGCATGGCTCCTGCAATTACAAGTATGGTTGTTAATGGCCGAGGTGTTTTTGGTGCTGGACCAACCAGAGGCTGCTACGTTATCTCTGCAAGAAGCCACAAATATATTCCCATTGAGCCATCATATTATGTACATAGTTAGTCCAAAAGTTTGACTTAATACCAATTAGTTTTACACCCACGCTTCTTCGATTGATAATTTTTACGACTTCCAGAGGGGACTTCTACACGAACACAAATTGGAGTACGTGGAGGCGAAGCAATGTTACCAGAATGCGGTTTCCATTAATCCTTCCCACATAAAGAGTCTGCAACATTTGGTAAGAATATATTTTCTTAAGAAATAAATAGATAGAAGGCATTGACACTTAAAATCCATAATGATAATTTTTGCTGTTTTCAACAGGGTTTGATTTATCACTACCTCGGGAGCCAAAGACTGGCCGAGAAAACCTTAAGGGATGCCGCGAAGATCGATCCCAACTCCCATCAAACCTGGTAAGGGAAATATTTCTTCAATATTAATGTCCTCGAGTTCGACTCTTCGGGAGCGAATTAGTCGTTCAATAATTCATGATATAGACCTGCCGTGACGCACGCACGCTTCCGCACACTGGCAGCCTCGAGACACCCCGCCTCGTGATTGGCATGAAGAATTCATCGAAATTTGACTCGTAGGTACAATTTGGGGAAGGTTTTGGAGTCGCTGGGCGAGGTAGAGGCTGCGAGCGACTGCATGGCCACGGCGCTGGAGGTCGAGACGACCAATCCCATTCTGCCGATACTGTCGATACCGGTTACTTTTGAGTGACTGCAGAGGTAGAGCTCACCTTGTTACACAATAAGTTAATTGATCCCTTACCTAACTGTTGCTACTGCAGTGGCCTCCCTTGCTTCCCCGGGCCACCAGGACCCCACTTACCCTACCACAGTATTCCGGTGTACAGATCGATCGAGTCGTTGAACATGTTAAAATAATGTACAAATAGTTACATGTGGTGTGGTGTAGAAAGTTTAATAAAAAGTTATCGTCGAATCGCTACATGCTGGAATTTCCCTTAGAATTTTATTTAGACCGCGTCTATGTCGTTTCCCTCTTCGACTTAGCTTTGGAGCAAGGAAGGCGACAGATGAAAATAGCAAGACGTGCATGGCATTTCGCTGAACAATCCGTTGTTCAAGTCGACGTCAGTCAATGCGTCTTGCTAATTCCTGGGGAAGGAAAAATCGGGGAAACGGAAATACGCAATAGGAATACCATCGAATCCTCGAAAACATTTTTATTATTAACGCGATACAAATAGCCACGTATGTCGCAGAATGGAGAAGTCACTGAAAGTCGTTTAATCGTTAACGCAGCCACGTCGCCTACCGACTGCAGCCGATATACGAAAAGCATCGTTTCGCCAAGAAATGCAGGCCAGGGCGACGTTTTAATTCCAAATTGTAATTCCACTGAAATGATGAAAATTGCCGTGTACGGGGTCTTTCTGTGAATTTCGAGAAAAAAGGGAGGAGAAACCCGAAAACAGTATTTGTTGCTTAAATGGTGGAAAACCTTATAACTGCAGGGAATAAAAATAAGACGAACGGCGAATCGATGAGCCCTGGCACGTAGCGCAGTCTTCCCGTTAATTTCTGTAAAAGAGGAAGAGAGAAAGACAGACGCACGGACGCACCCTGAACAGTCATAGGCCTTACCTCTTAACTCGATTCCATCTAACGAGATTAAGTTTCCTCGTGGACGCCTCTCTCCGTCGCCCCCTGACCTCGACTCGCTCCCTCTCTCTCGGCCTAAAGAGATTACCGATATCTCGGTCTCCCTCCACCGCGTGTCGCATTGCGCGTCCATCCGCGCACGCCCAATGCTTTGAAGGACTGGGGATTTTCAAAAATGACTAATCGAAACACGGCAAACTGCCCCTCGGAAGACGGCCATTCCGATGGGAAGGGAAAATTCGAGCTAGCTGGCCGCCTTTATAGATAACAATGACGGAAACGCCCGGAATCGCGCGCTGTTGAGTCATATTTAGCGCATAGCGTACGCCGCAGAGTTACGACTACTCGCGTAACGCGATCGACCGGTGGTGGTAATCGTTTTTCGAGGATGAGAGGAGAGGCAAGACAGGAGAGAGGGCACGCTTTAGTTATATATCTTTCTTGGAGAAAACCGAAAACCACCTCCAGGAATCTATCTTCAAGAAATGTGCCCTTCCCGAGCACCTTTCTTCCTCGGATTCCGAAAGATATAATGGAGAATAAATGTGCCCATAATTATGAAAGTGGTCTAAGTCATATATTTTTTGTTTCGAAATTACATTGAATTAATTTCGTTTGAAATAATATGGCGTGAAATAACTGATAAACTCATTTTTTTTTTTTAATTTTGACTTAGACCACTTTCATAATTATGGGCACAAATATCATTAAAGTTTTCTAGTTACCGGAGGACGGCGCAAAAAAGGACTTTTAAGGCTTATCTTATACCCCTTGGGAAATGAATGCACTTAAATTTACAAATTGGTCGAAGTTTTGCAAAAGTCGGATTTCAAAGCCTTGAAAAATATCGAAGAATAGATGGAAACTGGATTGAACGAGGGTTCCTTGATTTTAGAAAAATAAAAGGAGTTAAATAAGTATTAGAGATTGTTGGTAGGATCGCAAGATGCGGAATATCCAAGGGGGGCCGCTACGTTGTTTTCTCCGTAGCTGGGGAATTTATACAGAAACGAAGCCCGCTATTCAGAGCGTGGTGGTGTTTTCCCTGGCATTAATATTCATTTAATGAATTGTAATTCAGAAACGAGAGTTACTGAATTCCCGTGAATAACGGTGCGCTACGCCGCAAGGTCCTGACAAAGCTGGAAAATATTGATTTTCTCCGGATTCCGATGAAAGGCGAGGAAAGTAGAAGCAAAGCATTGACATTTTCCGGCAGAACGTTGGAGAAAATGTTAAAGGGACTGCGGAAGTATCTGAAAAAGGAGTGGAGATAGAGGAGAGACGCGTTAGAATTCTGCGCGAATTACAATGCGGCAATGCTGAAACCTCTCGGAAATTGCTCCGAATGTGGGTCAATAGTCGGGGATGCTTGGCGCGTTTTAGTTGAATTTATCCGACACAGGGTGGAAAACATCGTGGCGAGTCTATAATGTTTAAGTGAGAGCGATTGGTTTACGGAGTGACGGAAAAGCCAGGCTCGGAACGAATGGAAGCACCGCCTAGAAAATACCCGACGCGTTGTCCTTTCCGCGCGTCTCGGTAACGAACGGAAATGCGATTCGGCCTCTTTGAGAGAACCTTAGGGAGCCCCTCGTTATGACACTCGCCGGTCCACCTACATGGCTAGAAAATGCATTAACCCTGTGCCATTTTAAAGCCCCTTGGCTGCCTTACTTTAACGCGGATCTTCCCGCGCACCTGTTCCTCGGGGAGCGCGATCGACATCTTGGCCTCGCTCTTAGCTGCAGGTGCGAGCAACCCTCTAGTGGCTTCCCTACGGTAGAAAAACTCGCTTTCAACTAATTTCCCCGACACGGGGAAATTTTCCCGTAGTCAACACCGCCGGCAATAATCCTTGCAAGATTTCCCCGAGAGAAATAATCCTCGACAATTCTATCCAGCTTTTAACCCTAAATGTTCACTTTCTTTTTTTTTTTTATTAAGTTATAGCAGCGGAAGAATGCGGTTGCTATAATTTCAGTGCAAGGACATTTGCATGGAAATGGCAAGGAAATAAATCTTCGGTGTTGGGTTCATGGAGGAGGGAAGTTGACCGATACGTTACGCTCATGTTTCAGGAATTTAATCAGGCGAATTTGGTGGGGTCTCTTGTAAGGAGTTCGTTTAACTTCCCTCGCCTAATGAGTCCAGGAACTAGAGTACGTATTATACGAACTGATAACTATCATACTCAATAGCACCCTCCTGTGGTTATCGAGTTCATAAAAAGCTGTCGCATGCTGTTAGGTAATTAAAGGGATCTCTTCCAATTTTTGCAAACGTTTCACTTTCTTTTATAAAACTCGAGTTCTTATCTATTCCTGATGAATGTCACGTTGGTTTGAGCGGGTATTATTTTTAAAAAAAGTGTACATAAACATTAAATAAAAAGTGACTGTTTCATTAATGTGTCAGATTACGGTTTTAATAGGAAATTGAATGGCAATGTACCGATCCTTCTGTAGACTTTAAATGGAGTATTTTGCTGAACGTGGTACAGTGGTTCGTACGGCAATCTAATACGTCTACAATTAGCGTTTCCTCTATCTCCGTAATCTTTTCCGATAAAATGTTCGGAGTTCGCTGCGGTTTCATTATGCAGTAGGGTAGGATGGATAGAAAGGTGCTCGCTATTCACTTCTGCAGTTTAATCTTTCCCGAGGGCCGGGAATTGTTACAGCACCGTGTATCGTGCAATCGTAATGGCGTGCCTAGTTCACCTTTTTAACGTTATCTTAACGTTTCGAATTTAAATATAAAAAATATATACATAACGACCGAGTTTCGAAGTTTCCTACCGTTTCAAAAGATAAATTCGCAGTATCAAGCATGAGGATTAGTAGAAAAGTGTAGTACATTTATTTTGTATTGTACATTTATCTTGTATTAAAATTTCCACGATAAGAACAATTTTTAAAGGAGGGACATTACGAACCAAATAAAGCGCAACGTTTTCACAGCATATTGCGTTAATTTAATAATATCCGATTTAAAATGGTTAAAATAAAATCCTCATGACATATCTTGCGAATGTACGTACTAACGTTTACCCGTTGACTTTTACCTTGACATTTTCCTTCCATTCCGTCTTTATTACAATCGGAAATGAAAACACCAAGCTAGGACGGAATCATCTGTGCATTCCTTGGAAAAAAAAAAACAAAAAAAAAATTAAAATCCTTTCATTGCACAATTGGCAAAGTCGTTAGAAATGTAATCAACGTTCATTTCTCCAGTTTAATACTTTCCGGAGGTAAAGGAAATTGGCAAAGCACCTTGTACCGTGCAAACCCAATCACGTTTAACCTTTACCTTTCACTTTAACATTTCCCTAACACGCCGTCTTCAAGATAATTAACAGCAGGGCCATTTGAGCATTTTAGGTTGTCATGAAAACTGCGTAGCCGAGTGGGATTTCTCCCCACAAAGGCCTCTTTTCATGACAAGTCGGTCATACTCTAAAACGTTCGGTGTTTCTTTGAAAAGTATACGTAAAAAGTGAGTCAGCAGTGATACCTCGGTCGTGACTCGATGGCACGCGTTTCAAGGAGGTGAAAACTGCGATATTCTCGTCTGAATGAAATATCACATTGTAACGACTTCCTTACAAGTTGCATTACTTCTACGAACGTCGCGTATTAAAATTCATGCACATTTAACTTCATCGATAATACTCAAGGCTGTGGACGGCCGTGACTGGTATGACGACAGGGTTAATAGAAGATAAGCGGATGCTAATCGCACATACGTTCCCACATAATCCACTATATTATTAGGCCCAATAAATCGCAATAAGCATTAATATTTTAGCCCACCTCCCTCGTCGTAGGAAACGCCTGGATAATTACATTTCGTTATTAGCAAATGGTTCCCACGTTTAACCGCGCAAACAAGTGCATTTTCCCGGCTCTTCACATTAATTTAAAAGAAATACCAAGTCCGTAAAATCTCACATGGTCGCGAAACTATTTAAGCTCTTACATACATTTCCGATCGTGCATCTCGTAAATGAAGAAAAGTGACACGCAGGAACGATTAAACCAACAGCACGGATTTAAAAGCGACCTTTTCTTGCGAGATTTGGCAGACTCGAACGAAGCGTCATTCCAAAAAAGTAAGCTCCTGCAATGCGGCGAGGGTCCATGCCCATATTAAAACTATAAGTCGCCATTGCAGTCCGAGCAGAGCGGACTTCGAAGTCGCGCCATCGGCCGAGACCAAGGTCGGACATTTCAATTTAATTACAAATTTAATTACTTTTCCTTCAATTACGTGGCAGCTCGTGAACCAACCGCTAAGAGATTAAATCTAGTCGTGCGCGATTACCGGCCGTTAGAATCAAAGGAACGCCTAACAGCGTAAAAGTATGCGAGGTAATAACGGCTAGGGAAAAACAGGATGGACTGGAAGAGGAATCAGGGGTCTCCGGGAGGTCCGACCGTTTCCTGGATCCCTCGCGAGGGTCGCTAAAGACCGAGGGCGGGTATTTAATCGCAGGCTCGAAGGATCCGCAGGACGTGCCAGGCCCGGAAGTACCCATCGGCGGAAGGAAGCGCATCGAGAAGCAAGGAAGAGAGGTGCGGAAACGAGCCGCGAGCCGCAGGACGGCGTAGAAAGGGAGAGAGAGGGAGAGAGAGACGGGACTCGCGAAGCTTGGAGGGAGAAGGATCAGGAGGCGGACGGACGAGGAGTCGGCCGTCAGTTAGAAATGGGCCGAACGCTCATGGAAAAGCGTTCGGCCGTGCGCGGTTCGCCGAGCAGGGAGGCAGGTAGGGTAGGGTAGGGCAGGGCAGGGCAGAAGCCGCGCGAGGGAAGCCCGGCGCTGACCCGGTAGCCGGCGGCGGCAGCGGCGGCGGCGGCGGCGGCACGGTCCGCGCGGCCGGCTGACGCATTGCAGGTGCGCGCCGGCCAATCACAGGTCCGCTCAGTTCGCCCGGACTCGTCCTGTAAACAAGACCGCACCCAGGGGTGACGAGGCAGGGCCGGTCGGGTCGGAAAATCCGGCGTAAGCTCGCGGGCGGGAGCCCGGGGTGCGTCCTCGGTCGTCCCGATCGAGTTCGCCGGGTCCGCTCGTCCGATTTTTCGAGAGTCCGGCGTGCTAGCTGCGACTCGCGGAGGAGAGTGCGCGCGGCGTCTCGCGGCCCCTCTCCCCGCGGCGGGCCGCAGCCCCTCGCGCGCCCCCCGCCCCTTCGAGCCACCGCGCCGCCGGCAGCGCGCAGCCCGCCAGCCGCCGGCGCGCTGGCGGCGGAGTGATACCAGTGAGCCCGCACGCAGAGACCAGACTCCATTACTGTCCCGAGTGCGTTTCCCGTCGCGTCGGGCCGACTGTCGCACCGCGCATCCTCGAGGCGAACCAGGAGACCTCGCGACCCACCGCGCGCCCGCACCTGCCCCAGAGGAGCCGCTCGCAGCCCGTCGACCCGCCGGCAGCTCCTTCTCGTCGCCGAGAGCGCCGTCGTCCTCGTGCCCGGCCCGGCTCCGACCCGCTGCCCCTCGGCGACTCGCGATTCGCCGACCCTCGCCACCGACCGCGCGGCTCCGCTAGCCCAGCTCCGAGATGGTAAGTTCCCTCCTCGCCCCGCCTCGACTCGCCCGGCTGGACCGAGCCTCGCCCACGCGCCATCACCCGGAAGCGGGCCTCGGCTTGACGCGGCGCGGAGCGTGCACGTGCACGCCCGGACTGGTCCCTGCCGGTGCATTATGTAAGGTCAACCCGGGTCTCGGGGCGCGCCGGCCGGCCGGGATCGGTGCGCCGTCTATTTTTGCCGGTATCGAGCGTTTCTCTCGCTCGGAGAGGGGCCAGCCTCCGAGCGCGGCTCCTGCGACCTCCGCATCGATCAAACGCGCGATTCCGCAGGCCCCTCGGGGAGCCCGGTCGATCGACCCGCGCGCCCCGGTGGTGCTTGACTTTCGCGGGCCCGAGTCGAGCCGAGCCGAGCCGACCCGACCCGAGCGCGGAGCCGGCCCCGACTTCCTTCGTCGACCTGACAGTTGGCGCAGGGACCCCCGTATATATCTCCCGCCGAGATGCCGCGGAATGAGCGCGCCCTTCGATTAAGGCGGATCGATCGCGCACCTTCGCCTCTCTTCGCGCTCTCTGCTCTCCCGCGACCCCCCGAGAACGGTCCTTCTTTTTTTCATTTATCGGCCTGCCCCTTGTCCGACGATCGACGCCAGACCCAAGACGACGTCCCACTCCCTGCTCCCAGGAACTCGAGAATCGAGTTCGTAAAGCCGGGTCCACGCCTGAGCTCGAGCGAGGCGGAACGAATTCCTAAACAAATACGTGGCGATGAACGAAATCGTTCGAGGCATGAACGGACATTTTGAGGAATGGCCCTCGGATGGTCTATCGAACGATCCGAGGCAGTTTGTCGCATTTCGATTGTTTCGCCATATTTTGTATGCTCGGATTTGTACCCGGCTTAAAGATTTTTTCCCCGCACGAATGGATTCGCCTGAAGAGTTTCTCACCGTTGCGAAGACGCGTTATTGGTTAATATTTGAATACCCTACGCGACAATGTCGATTCCGCGGGAGAATGTTGATCGCACGACCTCGAGAATCGATCCCGAGATTATCTCGCGTAATCGCCGCCATCTTGGAACGCCGGGGAGGACTCGATTTGGGTTTTCACGTCTCGGGAACTATTTGGCCCAAAGAGGATTCCTGAATGTCGAATATCCAGGGTTAGAAGTAACGGTGATGCGAACAGCTGGAAATTGACGTCGAAGGTTCAGGTAAAATCGTGATCTATTCCAGGGACGGGGTATATACTTACTCGTCGCGTGCAGAAGGCAATTATGCGGGGATTTTCGTCGAGGCAAAAATGACTCGGGACTGTGTAATTGTAGGTGCAGTTGTTTAGCTTCGTTAATCGGGCTTGGGACGAAATTGGGAATAATAGGTAGGTGGTAAGCGAATTAAGACGTGGCCCTTTAAGGGAGGGAGGAGAGGGCGTATCGCTCGGAATCTGGTGCAACCGGTCGTGCCCGGAGGACGGGGCTTTTTATCTACCGTCCCGGTCGAAGATACCGCATGCCGTGCACCCCCTTCGATTGCGACGGATCGATCGGACTTCCCGCGGTAAGACTAGCTTTTTATATACTTCCCGTAATCGACGGAAGACTTTCCTTATTGGATGCCGTAAACCAGAGCGTCCCCTTGGATATTCAATCTCCTCGACTAAAAATGGCCCCTCGCGCCGCTGATACTTTTCCCACGGTCCGAGGTGATAACGAGAGTCTCTGGTCCGAAAAAAAAAGAAAATATATTTTGCTCGAAAAAAAAAGAAAATGTATTTTGCTCGAAAAAAAAAGAAAATGTATTTTGCTCGAAAAAAAAGAAAATGTATTTTGCTCGAAAAAAAAAAGAAAATGTATTTCGCCCGAAACTCTCGGTCCAACCGAAAGGGCGTTCTCGAGGGGAGAGAATCGTATTTAAATAGTTTCTTTTCGTTATATTGCCATTTTTTTTCCTCCTTTTATTGGGACAGGGCTGCGCGGATTTTATGGTCGGTTGCCCGAGATCCTTGGTTATACCAGTGGGTGCGAAATGCGAAGGAGTTTACCGAGGAATTGGCCGGCTCTCGAGATATATATGCGCGAGGGTATTAACAAGAGGGTAATTAAAATTTGACATAATTAGCCTTGCCCGTCGCCTGGTGTATATCTGCACTCGGATCGAAGATACCGCATGCAGCGCGCGCGCGACCCTTCGATCGGTCCGGATTAGCCGAAGCCAATTTGAGCCTATCGCGAGCCCTGATCGGTTGGAAATATCCCTCGATATATCCCTCGATATATCCCTCTTATCGAACTCCCCGGTGACGTAACGAAACTGCGAGAAAAATTGTATCGCGACACGAGGCGACGACGTTTCAAACAGCCTGCTGTGGTTTTTCCTGGAATTAAAAAAAATATATATATATTTTATATGTATATACGAAGGCTCCTCGAGCCACGAGGTATACGGGGAATTAATCCCATTTCTTATGGCGTTTGGTTACTTCGTTCTCGATTAACCCGGTAGTCTTGGACTCGCTTTTGAAACTCGTTCGCAGGGGGAAGATGTCGGACACGGGGACCGTTGTACCGCTTGTGAACGGTCGCGGGCTAGAATGAGAATCCTGGACCAATCGGACGTACGTATGTCCCTGTCGTGGCGTTCCTGTTGGTCGAGAAGAACCTACGGCGTGCGGAGGTTCCCTGGCGGTCCCTCCCGACTCGGGTCGAGCTCGCACACGCGACTTTGACGTCCGCGCGCGCGGCTCGGTCGCTCTCATGGACGTCAGGAAACTCGGTAGAGGTTTGCGACAAATACCTGGAGAAGCACGCGCGAACGGCACCTACTAGTTAACGCGAAATTTCGGCAGATAGGAATACAGGGGATCTGCCCGGGGGAATGAAGGGCGTAGTCCGTCGATTTGCGTGTTCAAGGTTGGAACGTCACCGAGGAACGAAGTACTAATTTAAATGGGATAAATTGAAGATTTTTCGATTCTTTTTTTTTTCTCGCGCGCAGGGACCTGGAAACGTTATTTCTCGTATATTAATTATTTGGTCGGTTCCTTCAATCGTTAAGGTAAAAATAACAGGGGCGGGGCCTACCCCGGAGACATTTAAGTCGAGGATGCCCTTTTACGTCGCCTCTTGGGATGGGAAACGAATAACGGGAGGAATGCGTAATGTACGACGTTATGTGATTTGGATAGGGGTTTAATTGCTCGCAGGGGTTGCCGTGGGGCGTAAGACCTGCCTTTGGAAGACAAACGCGGGACATTTGCATGTCGTTATTGCGTCACGAGTTGGGGGTGTCGGTGTTCGGTAACCGTGGAACGGTCGTGATAATGGAAACGGAAAGCAGGGACGCGGAAATCTTAACCTTTGTCTCCAGTTATCCAGTAATCGAGCTGCTAATTACGCTACTAAACGGGGGTTAAGGCGATTGGAAGTCGAGGGACGAAGACCGTGAATTCGGTTAAGGAAGTGACGCACAGGTGGGTAGACACCCTTTTAGGATTGTTATAAACATCCGTAACGTGCCAAGCATCAACTCGCTTCGATTTACTTAAAGATTCCTAACGTAGGATTGTCCGGTATGGTGTACATGCCGCATTGGGTACACACCCAACGTGCATACCCTACATTTCGGGTCACCGGACCATTACCTATTATTTATGGTACCCCATACCGAGCGGAAATTGGAGTAACGCCTCTTCTCGAATAATTCAGCCCCCGATCGTTGTCTAGGCCGTGTAAATATTTTCTGCCGGTTTTTCCTTTTATTATTATATATAGCGCAGCGCTAATTGTAAGGGGTGCGCAGAGCTCGGTATATAAGTCTCACGGAGCTTTCTCTATAACTTAGACGTACTCCGGTGTCGAAATAAAGACACTCTCCGTTTTCGAGTGATTCGGGCGTGATGGTCGGAAGCACGCGTACACGCATGCGACGTATACAGGTTAATCCCGGAATCGACTCGCGCCGCCCTATGGGAAGGCGGTGGAACTAGGAGGTTAAACCGTTGCCTCGTCCGCTGACGGGTGGCGCTTGGAAGGTGCGCGCGGCGGCTGCGCGGAGCGCGGCCCTAACCTCCAAACCCACCGCGAGCCTGGGAACTCCGCCGGGAAGGGACGTCCCTTCTCTCGTAGGGTCCAGTGCTGGGCCAGCCACCGCCCCCGTTGGCGGGCCCTTCTGACCATTCCGCCTCCCTTTCCCCGTCCTGGAGGTCCGTTGCGCGGCGCTCATCGGCCATTCCACGATATACCTCACTATTGATTTTCTTCGCTCCTCTCGCTCGGTCTCCCTCGCTCTCGCCCGGCCGCCCGGCCGTCGGTCTCTCTCCCTCTCACGGTGTCCCCCGGCCCGCTACGTCGCGCGCATTTTCTTCTTCTTCTTCCCTCCTTTCCACGGGTGTAAACGCTGCCTCGATACCTTCCTCTCTAATTCCGTCCAGCTAACGTCGACGTCCGCGAGATACGCGGATAGGTTTCCCTCCTTGGACCGAAGGAATTAACCAGTCCTGGCTTTGCACCGTCGTGAATGCCGCGACGCTCAAAAGGGGATTTAATTTTATTAATGAGCCCGAGGCGAGGAGAGCTATGGAAACGAGTCCCCGTTGGCGGGGGATAGGTAGTTTCGGAGTATATATTATTATTGAGGGGAGTATGTAATGTTTTAACCTCGCACTCGTATGGCTATTACGGTGTCCAGGATGGACTTCCTCTGATAAGGTATCGCCTAGATTATGTGCTCTTACGTAGGTGGAAGTCTCGATGATCGACTCATCAGCCCTGTTAATTATTTCGATGGTTCCTCGATTTCGTTGAAGTAAATTGGACCACTAAATGTGTCCTTTTAATACATTTGTACGGGAAGGTTTAAGTCTGCAATATTCTTAATTCCGCGTACTTTGGTATCCGAATTTGGAAGATTTAAGTCTCCACGGTTTACTCGTCGAGGATAATCTGGTCTGGACTAAGTTAAAAGATGTTTTGGAAAAACCCAAATTTTCAATGTGTCAGGACAATTGTTAGATGGTCACGAGTCATGTGTCAA